GGTAGTCTTGTGCAATATGTTTTGAACATCAAACTGATACTTTGGGTCCTCTGTACACATCGAAGACTGAAAGTCTCCATGAATTTCCTCTTTATGTCATTAGCGTCTATATGTTAGCCTTCCGTACACATCGAAGACCAAAAGTGTCCATTAATTTCCTCTTTATGTCATTTGTATCTATATGTTAGTTAACTCTATTCCTAATTGTATCAAGATTGTAAGATCACGAAGGTCTAGCCAACGCCCTGGGCCCTTTTACCTGAATTTTCTATGATTTTACAATTAAGCCCTCCGTACATATCGAAGATGAAATGTTTCTGGGAAATCCTTTTGATAGGATCTGTATCTATACCTATTCATAGTTTAAGCTAAATGTTATTGACATTAAAAACCAGGAAGGTCTCACCATCATTTGAAATTGGAAATTGGGAATGTGTCAAAGAGACAACCCCCCGATCAAAGAGCAGAAAACAGCCGAAGGCCACCAATGGGTCTTCAACACAGAGAGACAATCCCGCACCCGGAGACGGGCTTCAGCTGGCCCCTAAACAAAAATGTGTGCTAGTTCAATGAAAATGGACGTCACAATAAACTCCAAAAACATATAAATGAACTAAAATTAAAAAACATATACAAGACTAACAAGGCCAGAGGCCCCTGACTTGGGACCGGCGCAAAAATACGGCGGGGTTAAACATGTATTTGTGAGATCTCAACCCTCCCCCTATTTAAGCGGTATCAAGTAGTTTTGTGCAATATATTTTGAATATCAAACTGGCACTTTGAGTCCTCTGTACACCTCGAAGACAACAAATTCCTTAATTCCTCGTGATGTCTTTTTTATCTATATGTTAGCTAACTCTTACCAAATGAATATATAATCCATTAGTGCAATAGTAAATTATCCATTCCATAAATATGATGATAGTATTTAAAATTTGCGGTGAACTCAGATGACCAAAAGGATATCATGATGGAATGTAAATACAACTGGGTACCAAATATTAATGGTCTATTGCAAGCACTTCTTCATAAATAAACCTTATTAGACAACGTTACATTTAAATAAACAATGATTAACATTCAGATACTAGGCTGAAGCATGACTAAGGAGATGGCGTCGTATACGCTACTTGCAAAGCAAATGCAGAGATGTTCATACGACAGCCTGCAAAACACAACTTTTTCGTACTACTACAAAAACTACACTCTTCTGGAGCACAAAGTTCACATCAGGATTTAGCTCGATTTATATTACTCACACTTTAGTTTTCTGTGTAAAAAGTAAAATACAAAAATACCGAACTCCAAGGAAAATTCAAAACGGAAAGTCCCATATCAAATGGCAAAATCAAAAGCTCAAACACATCAAACGAATGGAAAACAACTGTCATATTCCTGACTTGGTACAGGCATTTCCTTGTGTAGAAAATTTTGGATTAAACCTGGTTTTATAGCTAGCTTAACCTCTAACTTGTATGACAGTCGCATAATACTTTGTAAAGTGTCGCTTTATTTTGTCTGGTCACGGGGTTGTTCGTCATTCTAGTAATTTTGGTTATCTCTGGAGTGTTAGAGTGTAATTTTATCATCAACTGAAATTAATTTTGTCATATTAACGTTTTGGTTATCGTCTGTTAAATTCATTAAGTCAAATGGCTATCCTGCTATAACAGATTTAACATAGCATTTCTCTAGGTCGCGTAGTAAATACTTTTATATGATTTATATGTTTTATTTTTGTAAACAAAGAGTTGGAGAATATTTGGAGAATATTTAGGTCAGTTGGAGAATATTTGGAGAATATTTGGAGAATATTTAGGTCAGTTGGAGAATATTTGGAGATGATGGGTATATAAGGGCCCCTGTTTTAGTGTTTATAAGAATTGAAGGCGAGAAAAGAACAATACAATATGAAACGTTAAAAAGGATTTTGTTATCTTGGCAGATTCTGGGCAGATTTTAGCATATCTTGGGAGGACTTATAGATTCATAGAAAGTTGTGTTACATTACTATTCAACTGTATTTAGTTTTGATATTTTGTCTGCACAGTATTGGACACTGTTGCGTGGTTTTTGTCCGCTCAGTATTGGACACTGATGCGTGGTTTTTGTCCGCTCAGTATTGGACACTGATGCGTGGTTTTTTTTTTTGTCCGCACAGTATTGGACACTGTTGCGTGGTTTTGTCCGCATAGTATTGGACACTATGTGTGTTTTTTTTTGTGTGCACAGTATTGGACACTGTTGCTTATTTTATGCGGAATGTAATGAAATCTGTTTGTGATGTGTGAAAGTGATGTACCAATGAATCTTTGAATCATACATTTTGTGAACTGTGTATAATGTGAATATTAGCCTGGAATATAATTTTGATAAATCATAGATTAGTCAATTTACTTGTATATTATATTTAACAACAAGACTACACATCATTGGATTATTTGTCGTTAATTGTCCGTTATTTCAATGTACCCGGCCTGACCTGAAAGATTTACTATACTCGACCGCCATGGCAGGAGTACCTCTTTAATGCTTTAAAACAACGTAAAAGTTCAAAACTGATTTCCTATACACTAAAATGCATAAATGCATCTTTATAGATACATCAAATTAGAAATCTTACCATTTCGATAATGTAAAAATTCCAAGCTTATTTGAAGCATAGCTGAGAGAGAGCCTCCTCTCGTTTGACTTAGGACTTAAATGTACATATGTTAATGTAACAGCATATCATCTATATACGGCCTATCTTAAATACTTCATTATAAAAAAATGTGTCTTGTGTTTTTTCTGCATTGAAAACTGTTTGATCTGGGCATTGCACTGTTCAAGATGTTATTTAAAATCTTACCACCTATGAAGTACGGTCATTGATAGAAGAGTGTAGGATAGCATGCTTTAATATTAGCAGGTAAAGTACTGTGAGCTTGCTTTCAGTTACTGCGAGCATTTTTCAATACGGTATATATATATATTGTTTATTATTGTTTTATTATCTATTATACCGTTAATTGCCTTTTCTGAAATGGTTGTTTTGTGGTCTTTTATGTTCTTGTATTAGTCCATTAATCGAAATTAAAAAGGGGAAGGGTAGAGATCTAAAACCAGTTTAATCCGATATTCACTACCCTGTTCGAAGTCGAGCTTATGCCATACCTTGATGTTTTTGTTGTTTTGAGAATTAGGCTTTAATGGGACGCTTTTGATTGTTTCTGTTTGATTTATTTACAACTTTTGTAGACTTTGGACGAATTTAGAGCTTGGTGTATTATACAGAAACGTATTAAAGACTGCAGTTGTCTTTTGAACATATTATCGTTGGTTACTGCCTCATTGACGTATACCCGCCATCTCCTTTTAGACATATACGAAAGGATGGACAAGCAAATGCCATCGGACAAAACTGAAGTTTATATCAAGTACTCACAGGAAAAGTTTTTTTTTAATCAACTAGTGTAACGATAAAGTGTTAGTTGCCATAGCATCGCAGAACAGATTGATCCCATATATTATTGATATAATGTTTAAAATATGACAATCCCATCATTATAACAGAAACACGCAAATCATTGACAGTGGTCAAACATTGATTTCTGGACAAAACTGGTGTTGGCAGATTGAAGCTCGCAACACATTAAGCAGTTTTTATCCCCCGCCAAACAAAAATCTACCTCTTATCAAACGATGTACAGCAAAGATTAAAATGAGTTTTTGTAAACATTCTTAAAACTAGTTTTGTGAGAGAAAAAAAATATTGGCACTTTTCCTACAAGATTCGTAGACATCTCAATTTGTACCGGACAATAACTGGTATTTCATAAATCATCCTACAGAGGTCATTCTACGAAGAAACCATTCGGATATCCACAGTTCATTTTCTCTCCCCATGTAAAAGAGAGAAAAAAATGAAAGGCATTCTCCATATGTACAAGAGTAATTAATGGCGTACAAAAAACAACGCCGAGGCTCACCGCATGGTTCTTCAGCGATTAAAACCATTCACCAACGATTAAACCATTCTTCAACGACTAAAACAACACAATACGGATAACTTATGAAGACTATGCTGCCGGACTTTAAAAACGCAACACACATGTTGGTGATTTGTTTTACCAAATCATGATTAATCCTTATATAATTGCTTTCATGCTTACCATACGTCTTTCTGTTAAGAAAAATTCAATACCTGATTTACCTGAGGTATTTTCAGTGAACATACCGGATTATTGACGTCGCACAAATTTCTAAAAGCAAAATTAGAAACCAATGCATGTTTTTAAAAGTTTTTTTTTCATCTTGAAACATTTCTTGGGATACATACCACCACTTTAATAAATCAGTAAAAATGTTACTTTTCAATATTACTGAGATAGAGCAACGAAAATCTGAATCAGGCCACAAGAATATTGCAGGCAGGAATATGTCAACGTGCTGTTGCAAGGCAATTTCAAGTCAAAATCGCCTCGTATAGTCCTTAAAACAACGGTACAGACAGACGGAATGTGTCCATGGCCAAATCAAACTGCAGTGACAACGCCAGGTCAATAGAATATATTACGCAACGCCATTTGCGAAACAGGTTTACGACTGCAACGTCAACTGCTTACCAAGTTTTCGGATGTCATGGCAGACAGATTCATCCCATATATGTTTCCAATATACTGAATTGCCATAGAATCGATTGCAGAAAAACATTTTAAGGCCTAAGGTTTAACCCGCATAATTGCCAAAAACAGACTGTTATGGGTAAACCCAAATCCGAATGGACAAAACAGAGCTCAAAACAGGCACAAAAGTCGGTCAATCTTTTATGCGTTGGTAACAAGCAGTCATTGCCTTAATTCGACGGTGACACATCTATCGAATAGGAGAAAACCATGGTTTCAGTGCATACAACATGATTTGAACAAAAAACGTGACGTAATCAATTCAACTTTCGAACTACTAACTTTATTTGAAGTCCGTCAGTTTATAAACATTTAATGCATAAAGATATATGAACAAGGCAGAAAATCTATATTTTAGCAAAATATTAACACAACAACAATCAAAACATAAACAACTTTAACAATGATAATCACTTAGTAACTATTTAAAGATTTGTAGACGACTATGACATTAAAATAATTGTAAGGGTAGACAACATATCACTCTTTGTACGACGGTGGATCATCATAGATAACCTGTTGTGATTTAAAGTTATCTCCTCCTTGGTCACGATGCTCCGTCACCTCATACTGTGATGCCCGTGATGCCCGGCTGTACTCTGATTGTCTCTGGTACTGTTCGGTGTTCATGTCATTCCCCGGGATATGAGTTTGTGGAGGACTCATTATCGTTCCTGGCTGATTAGAACTGAAGTAAATTACCTAAAGTGCAAAATGATCATTGTAATAAAGAAAACAAAATCAGTTTTAAGTGTATACGTCCGCCAAAAATGGGTATTAGGTTTTTTTTATCAATTTAATATTAATATTGACAGGCGGAATAAATGTCATTGAGACAGCAAACAAACAATAGAGTGCTCACAAACATGCTTAACCCAATCAAATTCTATATGTGCCTGTCTGTGCCAAGTTTGTAGCTTAATCATTGGTTGTCTTTGGTAGCTGTATGTCATATTTAATTTTCGGTTATTGTTTTATCAGGCCGTTGGATTTTTCGGTTGAATCTCACATTTTGTCATGTCGGGTACATTTATAGCTCACTAAACGGTATGGGTTTTACTCATTGTTGAAGGCCGGACGGAAACCTATTAGTCCTATAACATAAGCCTTCGTAGGTTCATATCGTTTGCTTTCGACGTTTTTTATTTGATATTTTTGTTTACTATCAATGCCGAACCACGTCGTTTGATGTTCGGCATTGAAAGTAAAAAAAATATCCGTCGAAAAAACGTCGAAAGCAAATGATATGAACCTACGAAGTCTTATGTTACAGGACTAGGAAACCTATAATTGCTTACATCCACGTCATTTGACTCGGTGGATTGTTGTCTCACTGGCAATCATACCACATTGCCTTACTATGTAATAAACATATTTTTGTGCGAATTTTATTTATCAAAAGCCATCAAAATTGTGGGTTTTTTTCTATTTGAAAAGAATTTTACGAAAACTCAAGTTACCAAAACAGACCTGCTCACTACCTTTATAAACGAGGGGCATTTAAAGCTTGAATACATATTGCATAGACCATATGCTGAGCTACAGATGATTTTATATTTTTTTTTTTTTTTTGAGTTACTTGTTGTCTCATTGACGTATAAATCGCCTTATATTCGCTTTAATTGAAGGAAGAATCAAGACTTTAAAAATGAAACGTGAATATCTTGTTTTTTTAATTTTTACTGGAAAATAATCAGTTACTAACATGCAGTTTTCTTAATTCATTAATCTTTTTTCCGATTAACCGATGGCTGATTCATCTAACTTCAAAATATTTATGTCGGGGACATACGTGATAACTCCTGCTTGTATTCGTAATTTATTCTCCACTAACTTAAAAAAAGGGAGGTGAAAAATACCAAAAAGATATTCAAACTCATAAGTTGAAAATAAACTGACAACGTCATGTCAAATAACGAAAAAGACCAAAAGACAAACAACAGTATACAAAACACAACATAGAAAAATAAAGACTGAACAACACGAACCCCACCAGAATCTGGGGGAGAACTCAGGTGCTCCGTTATAACTTAGAATATGACCAAAATATATCTTATTTGGAACAGGATAAATGAAATTGTAACATCCAGTTTCTATTTACTGTAAAATCTTAAATACTAGTATACATGTATAAGAAAATTGTTCAACTTACGGTGGGTTCCGACACTTCCCATGCAGAACAACAACAGCAATAGGACGCTGAAATGATCCCTACAACAAACTGACCAGCAGAAAATATGGACAAAAAGGCTGACAGCACGACTACTTTTCCATTGTGGAATTCTCGCTGAAATAAAGGACGACGCTTAAATTAATAATAATTTCTGATATTAACGAAGTTAGAAATCGTCTCTTTTTTAGATACGTGTGTTATAATTAAATCAATTTAACAGACGAGAGGCAAAGTATATGTAACGAAAAAAATGTAGATGTAGCATTTATACTTACAGATATACAGTCATTTAAAACCCGCTGCATTTGTTTGCACCTGTCCTAGTGTTCAGTGGTTGTCGTTTGTTGATGTGGTTCATACGTGTTTCTCGTTTCTCGTTTTTTATATATTTTTTTAAGGATGAGTCATGGACATGCTTAATTTCTACTTTCTTTTTGGCTAATTATTATATCCAACTTTTTGTGTACTATACATATATGGATATCTATTTTTCTTTTTTCTTTTTGGGCTGCTTGTTTGTTATCTATATCAACCACACTTGCAAAAAAAATGCATTAGTATTAAAAAAAAAACATACCATAGATTCTTTATCTACATATTCTTTAAGAACTTAAATAGTTCTCGTTAAACTTTTTTTTTATCTCATTGTTTGTATTGTATTATGAAAAATTATTGATGTTGTAATGTTTATGCCCTTTGGGGCCCATAATTGGAAAAATATCTTATAGATTAGACCGTTGGTTTTCCTGTTTGAATGGTTTTACACAGGTCATTTTTGGGGCCCTTTATAGCTTGCTGTTCGGTGTGAGCCAAGGCTCCGTGTTGAAGGCCGTACTTCGACCTATAATGGTTTACTTTTACAAATTGTGACTTGGATGGAGAGTTGTCTCATTTCATGCATATGCAGGACGAGAACAAATATCGTCCGAGATGAAGAGTGGAAAATTTGGACTGCCATTTGAAAAAAGGATTTGTTGGATAGGAGCAGAAATTTTGCCTTGCGACTTGTGGTAGTGTTTTCCTGCATCCAAGTCAGCGAAACGGACGCCCTGTTTAGCATTTGTTTTACTATAGGAGGAGATAATTTTGAATAATGTCTTTAAAAAATTCGGACCTTCGTTTTGTCTTAAAATTTCAATTTCCTTACCGGGGAGAAATGTTTTTCTTGGGTATATGTATATAACTTATACATACTTCGTCTCAAGTTTAGGCCCAACAGTGTTAGATCTGCAAATTTGTGTTTATATATCACAATTTTTAAAAAACATAAACAAAAATCAGAAATGCTCGTTGCCTTCCTAACACTTCCTTTTTGAAAAAAATAAATGGATTCACGATTGAGAAGTTTCATATACACCTGACATTCAAAAACGCATAGCAATAGTTAATAAGCTGAAATTTAATTGTTGTCTTACAGTAACGTACATTCGAATGCAAAAAGTGCCATACTTCATAATTCAAAAGTGTGCATAATATCCGTCATTGTACGGGTTACTATTTAGTGATGTTTTAAAGGTCTTAAAATTTACTTGTGTATTGAATATTTATTAGTATAAAATCCAAAAATCGGACTGCTACTCAATACCACAAATAAACAATAAGCAATACAATTTTGTAACATTTACAAAAAAGAAAAATTATTTAAAAAAAAAACTAAGTTTGTTTGGGTTTTTTTTTCTTGTTACCTTTTCTTAAATGCTAGACAATAAGCCTCCCCTCAAATGGACATAACTTGTGTAGAAATTCTTATAGAAATAATCTTACTTACGTATATGGCTCCAATGACTCCAAGACTGAATATGATAGGTACAAATAGAGCAGATCCAATTATACTACATACCATAAAGGCAATTTTCTGAATAATAGAGTATAACGTTGAAAGAAGGGTTAGTCGAGCGTAACATATTTCGACATTAGCAATATTTTTTTTCCTTTCGTTTATGCATTATTTTGAATATATATAATGAAACAATGAAATATTTTGAAAAATCGTACTTTTTCAGATTTTAAACGGTTTTTAAATTGTAGCAAACTTGCCCTTCTTCATCCAGTTGAGCTAAAATTAAAATGAATCTTATGTTTAAATCTATAAACATAATGACACATTGATAATGATTATTCCCAAGATTAAAAAAATAAACTCATAATATATGCAATTACAATCCGAGTCCTTTGTTCTTTATAAGATCGAGAGTTTTTATGTTATCAAATTTCGAAATCATTTTAAAATAAGGAATCATGAATCTCTCTCATGCATAGATTTGATTAAGGTGTCAGACCAGTCTACCAATTCTCCCACCTCAATTTGGAACGTAAAATACTGCTTTTGATGTCATTGTTTACTTAAACTAACAAACAAATGGTGTCTTCCTCGAATGCCAACATTTTATATGTTACCTATTCCTTGAATGCCAACAAAAATATTTCAATGGATGTTTATATAATAACAATAGGTGTTTTTATAAGTATTTAACTGTTAAATAATTAGTGAACTTGATAAAATTGCAAAATTTTATCACTTTTTGATAAGAAAAAATAGTAGACATTAGGATAAAATTATTATGAATTTTAAAGAAATAAAGAAGATGAAAACATTTTTATTACTTTTTATTAAAAAAAAAGATATTTTGAGAATGGAAATGCTTATTAACCTATTCCTTGAATGCCAACAAAAATATTTCAATGGATGTTTATATAATAACAATAGGTGTTTTAAAGAAATGAAGAAGATGAAAACATTTTTATTACTTTTTATTAAAAAAAAAGATATTTTGAGAATGGAAATGCTTATTAACCTTTTCCTTGAATGCCAACAAAAATATTTCAATGGATGTTTATATAATAACAATAGGTGTTTTTATAAGTATTTAACTGTTAAATAATTAGTGAACTTGATAAAATTGCAAAATTTTATCACTTTTTGATAAGAAAAAATAGTAGACATTAGGATAAAATTATTATGAATTTTAAAGAAATAAAGAAGATGAAAACATTTTTATTACTTTTTATTAAAAAAAAAGATATTTTGAGAATGGAAATGCTTATTAACATAAGACATTAAAAAAAGGATATTAGAGATTTATTTAATTCCATATCATTGTAAATATTATATTATATAGACTATAGTTAATATGAACTAAATGAAGATTTCAATTGAATAAGTAATTAAACTTTAACAAGAGGGCACACGCTGAAATGTCTCGCCTTCTTTACTAATCATTGATATTATGTTGATAGTTCTAAATATAAAGCTTTACTACAACTATCACATAAATTTAACATGATCCAAGAAAATGAGGTCAAGGTCATATAAACCAAACAAGAAATACATGTACACCTTACAATCATTCAATACACTAAATATAGTTGACCTATTGCTTATAGTTTCTAAGATACAGACTTAACCAAGAAAACTAAATATTGACTAATGAACCATGAAAATGAGGTCAAGGTCAGATGAACCATGCCAGGCAGACATGTACAGCTTGCAATCATTCCATACACCAAATATAGTTGACCTATTGCATATAGTATTAGAAAAAAAGACCAAAACTCAAAAATTTAACATTGACCACTGAACCATGAAAATGAGGTCAACGTCAGAAGACACCTGCCAGCTAGACATGTACACCTTACAATCATTCCATACACCAAATATAGTAGACCTATTGCATACAGTATAAGAAAAAACAGACCAAAGCACAAAAACTTAATTATAACCACTGAACCATGAAAATGAGGTCAAGGTCAGATGAAACCTGCCAGTTGGACATGTACACCTTACAGTCCTTCCATACACCGAATATGCTAGACCTATTGCTTCTAGTATCTGAGATATAGACTTGACCACCAAAACTTAACCTTGTTCACTGATCCATGAAATGAGGTCAACGTCAAGTGAAAACTGTCTGATGGGCATGAGGACCTTGCAAGGTACGCACATACCAAATATAGTTATCCTATTACTCATTATAAGAGAGAAATTAACATTACAAAAAATCTTAACTTTTTTTCAAGTAGTCACTGAACCATGAAAATGAGGTCATGGACAATGGACATGTGACAAACGGAAAATTCGTAACATAAGGCATCTATATACAAAGTATGAAGCATCAAGGTCTTCCACCTTCTAAAATACAAAGCTTTTAAGAAGTTAGCTAACACCGCCGCATCACTATCCCTATGTCGAGCTCCCTGCGACAAAAGTCGCATGCTCGACAAAAATCATCAGAACTAATTAAGTAAATTTGATAACTTCGAAGCTGGAAACTTTAAAAGTTTCAAGAAAATCCATAATAATGGGGAAACAAGAATTCCGATGAGTTGCGAACATTTTAAACACCTAAACAATATTATTTTATGAATCAATTACAATAAAAAAAAGGTGTAGTATTATTATCAAGAAAAATATCCTGAACAAACTGAACAAAATAAAAACATTGTAATCTAACACGTGATACAAAGTTTCAAGAAATTCCATCAAGTAATATGGGAGGATATTACAGCACACACAACTATAGAAATATTGAAAAAAAAACTTCAAAGACTAAAGAGGCTATTGTAGAATTTGAGCAAACTGGAATTCCTGACAATATGCACATGTTCACTTTGTGATGCAACACTTTTCAAAGTTTCATTTTAAGAGAATCCATATTTGTTCAAGCAGTAACAGCAAAAAATGATATTCAACAACTTGACAAACATGAATTAGATTTAGCTACCTGTAATTTACCTATCTGTTTAATTAGTATGATTGTTTTGATAAGCATGCACTTTTGTTGTGATAACTACTTACACATATTCCTTGAACGCCAACATAATTTTACAGGTAAATCGTCGGTAGATCAAAGGATGTTGGCATTCAAGGAATAAACCAAACAAATTTGCAGAAATGAAACTTTTGGTGAAAGAGAAATATATGTAGACCATTTTGAGCCAAAATTTACTTGTTTATGAGTTTGCATTAAAAAAATTGAGGATAAATGCGCTACATAGTATACTTATTTAAGATATTCAGAAAACCAGGGGTTATTTTTTAGTAGTACTTGATTTCCGAACTGTAGTATTTCATTACAAGACTTTAAACATTGGTTGAAAATTGGCATGTAGAAAGGTGATGCATGTACAATTCAGGATATACCTGGTTTCTATGAAGTTAAACTTAAGGTAAAATATTTAGAGAGCTGTGAAAATTGCTAATAATGGTTGAATAGATAGGGATTTTGAATTGGTGGTCTGACACCTTTATTCATTGTCCGGGTTTGGCTTCATTTGTTGGTTCTATTTTGTTTTAGTGTTTTGTCCACTACATAACAATTAAATGAAATCAACTAAGTAACACAGCCACTTTTTTGTTTTTTACAGTATCATGTTTTTTTGTACAAGTCTAATTAGACATTTGCGGAAACTACGTCTATACCTAGGATTACACTTAGACTTACGATAACAGTTGACGAAAAACAAGGGGTCATCTCAAAATTAAAAAAAGCAACAATAGAGATACCTAGTAAAACCAAATGATTGTTTTTTTGTTAAACGTTTCGACGACATACAAATGGTCACAACAGATTTGAATCGCTGTATTGGATATGTCACCAAATAATCCCCATAACTTTGTTTTGTTTTTTTTCAATTCTTCGATGGCGTGTTCAAGCTTTACCTTATAGTGTTTAATAAGCCCATTTATTTTTTTAGACTGCCTCTACATATCCTGGGGTTTCGAACAATCTGTTGTCTTGTATAAGGTTTATAATCTTTTTGTTATAGTTCCCGGGCAAAATTGTGTCTTACTTTATTTTAGTAAAGCAAAACCAGCAAAAATTCGTTCAGAGGGTACTCAACAAAAGGTGCACTTGAAAATCAGGGAATATGCGACAAGCAAGTAACACAATATAATTATTAAGCAATGCTTTTAAAATATCAATGTCCTTCGTTTTCACGATTACATTTTGTATCCGAAACTGTTCCCTATAACCGGCTTAAATAGTTTTTCTTCTCGGCTGATATACCTTTGCACCTTTTATCCCTTTTAATCAACGAAATAATTTTGCGGATAAACTTTGTGTGACCGTCATAAGTGCACTCTAGAGTACAATTGTACCGGTCTCGGATCAATACTTACTGCTCATGCTTCGATCAGACCACACCCACCCATGTTTATGGGAGAGAAATGATTATAGACACCGTGAAAAAACCGTCTATACTCAAATGATTCCCAAGATCTCTATCAAAATTGCACAAAAAAAAACAACTCAGAAGTCATTTTTACCTGCGTCTCTGAAGGCAAAAGCAGATTTAGTAACCGCTCGGCTCTGTCCGTCTATCCGTTCGAAAAATCTTGCTTAAAGTTTTCCTGGCCTCTATAGAAAGGAATGATATTATATTTGGTCTACAGCTTAATAACTAGTGAGTTGAGACCCGCAAGTAAAATGCCATGAGAATAAACGGTTCTTTTAAAAGCACCAAACCTCTGTATATCCTCCCATTTTCTTAAAAAAAAATAAGGAAACTATATGTCTTAGCATAAACATAAATATTGTCAACATGCTCCTTAGTTGATCGTCCTTTCTTTAGTCTAAGTCTTGTTGAAATTAATTTCTAATTGTCCAAACCTAGCCAACGACAATACGTTTTTTTTTTTATTTCATGTAAAACTTATCAAGTGATGTTTGTCCATTCTATCATACTCCGTACATGAACACGATGTACAATAATTAATGTGTAAATATTACTTCATATATTTCTTAAAATCCCTGTTGTTCAACTATAGAAAAACATCATCGGAGTTCTAGAACGACGGTTCATATTTACACTTTGAGACGACCCAAGATTTAAATGCTACCTGAAAGTGTAATTGTAATCCTAATCGTAGGTGTATGACAGTTTCCGCAAATGTCTAATAAAAGTAGTTGTAATAAAATTTAAGCTATAAAACGGACTGCCTTATTATTTAACATTCAGGCGTTAATATTAGAAATAAATTTATACACATCTTTTCATTTTTTTTTAAATGAATGTGGCTTTTTAATCATTTAAAAAAAAAAAAAATTTGATTTTGTAAAAAAATTCAGCTATGTAAAGTGATAAGAATTGCTTACTCGATGATAAATGCAAAATTATTCTATTTAGTATGGCATACGCTAATAATATTAAAACTGTTACGTACATTTTGTACGTGACGTTGTTGACATGATAACACAATAGAGGGACATTTTTTGTTTTTTTTACAGTTTTTTCAAAACAACCTTTCTCTGTCGGGATAAAGATTGAATGCTTTTTCACACTTATAATTTATGGTCACAAATTTATATTCTAACGCGCTTCTGGTGTACCAAATTATAAGCCTGTTATCTATGAAGAGTTTTACCACCACTGGGTCGATGCCACAACTGAAAGACGTTTTTACACCCCCCCCCCTTCAAAGGGTATAACCATCCCAGTAATCAGTACGTTTTTGTTGACATGAAATATATATAGCATTCCTATGTTCTTTTTATGTAAATCAAATGTTTCTAAAATATTGAATAATTTGAAACACTAAGGTTTTTCTACTTCAGTTATAGATTGACCTAGCAGTATTTGGCACAACTTTTCGGTTTTTTAATGTTTTCCAACTTCGTATTTGATTTGCATTACGACCCGGGATTGCCGATTTTTTGTAAGCGTGACACGTGAAAGTCAAATTATTGTGCCGTGAAAACGGGAAATGAAGTCTAGCGGGACACGGGAAATTACAAAAAAAATGAAAATTGCTTACGTACATAGTGTAAGCGGGATACGGGAATCTGACAAAACAGTAAGCGGGATCCGGGATCAGAACCCCCCAATGAGACCCCCTTAAGTTATAAGTCTGGTATCTTTGATGATTTTTTTTCAAACATAGACCATTAAAAATGCCGTTTTTACAGAACCACATCGCCATGTATGTAATTTAAAGCTCTAAAACATTATGTCGTAATCTTGAACAATTGAGCGTTGTGGTATGGGTCTGTTGTTGAAATATATAATCAGGCAAAATCGGCCTGTTTACTTACCAGGTTTTTCCAGTTATGTATTTTCTTTCGTGACATACAAATGGGAAAGAATCCGGTAAATAAAAACTAAAAAAGAAATAAACATTCAAGTTTTTTAAGTGTAACACTGCTTGCTTTTCTTTTAATGTTTTAATCAATGTGAACGAACAGTTGGTCACACAGGAACTTACAAAACCTTTTGAATGAACTAGAACGCATTGCCTTCAGCTATTCGTTTATATTTTTATAGATGTATAACAAATTCTTCATAACAGACCGGAACAGAATAAAAATATCAAAACTTGGTATGCTTGTCAATGAGACAACTATTCACCAGGAACCAAATAACGTGGATATAAGCAACTATCGAGCACCGTAAGGTCTTTAAAAAACAATTTTCCAAAGTACATAACTTAGAATCACAAAACCGCAGAAAAAAATAAGTTAAGAAATGGCAAAGAAAAAACGGTTATTTCAAAATAATACAGAGTCAACTATAGTAATGTGATTTCAAGTTTAGAAAAAAAATCATTTATGAACTGTACATTTCAATTATGTAAATAATTCTGGCTCTCCGTGTCATATATTTGGTGAATAAAATGCCTACTATTAAAGAGTGACTGATATATTCTGATGGGGGTTAATTGTGCACCTCTTATTGTATTGTTATAAAACTAAGAAGATGTAGTATGATTGCAAATGAGACAACTCTCCTCCTTACTAAATGGCGTGCAAGTTAAAACAATAGGTCGCCTTACGGCCTTCAACAATGATCAAAACCCATACCGCATAGCAAGCTACATGTATTAAAATACTCGAAATGTAAAACAATTCAAACAAAAAAACTAACGGCCTCATTGGTGTACAAAACAAAAATACAGAATGTAGCGGGGTTTAACATGTTAGCGGACGTCCAACCCCCCCCCCCCCCCCTAACCTGGGACAGTGGTACATCAGCACAACACAGGAACAAACCGTTCCTTTACTGTTATGAATCAAAGTTTGTGGCTTAGATTCATAAAGATCCAAACACGCAATCATTCAGCAGTAGCATTGACGTATCAAAAGTAAACAAAAGTACGACATACGGCTACTGAACAACGCATGCCAAGTCTTGACAAAAGCTTTAATGGCTTCTGTACATATAAGCTACTCACAGCTGCCATTAGAAAAGATTTATGTACAGCTTTATTTCTTCTCGTTCATATTATTCATAAAATTATAAACATGTTATGTGTGTTGGTGTGAGTCTTGGTGCTAACGTATATATTTTTTATGGGTTTCCAGTTGTCTAAAGCAAAAAGTCCACATCTATTACATCAATACCATGGGAGCAAGTTAGTTAACATACCCATACTGAGCATATCAGACATGTTAGATCAAATGCAAGCAATGGTTCTGTGTATCTTCGCCATATCCAACACTGCCAGAACCAGGGATCATGGACGCCATAATAACTTTTATATGAGTGGCGACAGTTCCTGTTCATTTCAATTGCATCAATAATTACGCCTATGAAGCTGTGAACCATACAAATAATAGCTAGTGCAATCTGTGATCCTCCAAGAATTCGAAATGTTCTGACAGGAAACATCGGTTCTGGATTAGGTGCAACCAAGTTTTGGCCTATATGAGCAACAGATGGGTATGTGACAGTCTTTACTACTGGGTGATGTATTACAGTCGCAAATTCAGGTTCACTGATTGGGTGTGAGGTCATTCTGGAAACTAGCATTAAAAAATACAAGAAAAACATTAATTTTTCATCGTTTTCAATGTCAAATGTTTCGGTGTCATAGACGATTATATCTTGTTCTTAGTATCTGATCTACCCTCCCCAGAAACTGATAAAAGTGCAATTAAGTTAAAAATACATTTCCAAAACTTGAACAGTGTGGAATCTTACAAGAAACAACGGAAAAAATATAGTTACTATAAATAAATTCCATAAGTAGTATTTACAATTTTCTTTGATGGATTTGGATAAGTTCTAGCTAGTTTTTGACTTCTGCTGGAAAAACAAAAGTTGTTTTCATTAGGGCCAGAAACTAAGAAACCTCCGTCATCCCCCAAAGAACTGTAGCTATAAATATAAGAGCATGACACATTCCAAACACGTTACATGAGAGCAACATCCCTATCCCGACCATATACGGGATAGGATATTTATAGAACCAATAAACTGGGCGCCCCTTAGCAAGGATCATGTGCATTCCTATGGGAGAAGTCGAAGTAGTCCACTACCAAAATGTAGCTGTGTCTCGATACCCCTGTTATTTGAAGGGTCACATATCTGGGATTGGAAAAAAGTGTCACTAGCGGTTTTTTTCTTGCTACTGGACATGGATGATCTAAGCAAGGATCTCTGTTATCTACAATGAAGATGTGATGCGTGGATTCTTTGACTTCAATGGTATTTTCATTCTTAAATCGTGTGGTACACTGTCCCATCCAAATAGATATAAGAAGATGTGGTATGAGTACCAATGAGACAACTCTCCATCCAAGTCACAATTTGTAAAAGTAAACCATTATAGGTCAAAGTACGGCCTTCAACACGGAGCCTTGGCTAACACCGAACAACAAGCTATTAAGGGCCCCAAAAATGACTTAAAACCATTCAAACAGGAAAACCAACGGTCTAATCTATATAAAAAACGAGAAACGAGAAACACTTATGAACCACATCAACAAACGACAACCACTAAACATCAGGTTAGTCACATGTGAATTGATAAATGATACGATTATTTTATCTTATTGTAGAATTATCAATCTGATTGATACAGATCCTACGCCACATCCTCCATTGCAAGCAATAGCGTGGACACAAAATTTGTATTTTAATCAGATTATAGACTTATTCAATTAAAGCCGTTAATTCCTTGCTTCATAATATTTATGTTCCCTTTAGAGTTTAGAGATATATTATACTGCCAAGTAATTGGTATTCCAATGGGAACTAACTGTGTCCCTCTTATTGCAGTTTTATCCCTTTGCTCTTTTGAATAACAGTTTATGTTACAACTTCATAAAGACCAAACTAAACACCATTTGATAGATATTTTAAACATACCTGTAGATATTTAGATGAGTTATTCTCTGTCAACAAACATTGTTTTGTGTAAATATTCAAATGAAATTTATTCACCATAATTTACTCTTACTACATCGATGTCCCCTTTTAGCCCTTAGTCGAAATTTTATGATTTTAAAAAGTCAAAATTTCAAATTAAAGTCAAAATTTCGAGATTTGAAAAGTTAAAATTTCGAGTTATAGTCGAAATTTTAAAGATTTGAAATGTCAAAATTTCGACTTTGAAAAAAAGTGCAATGCCAATTTTATTTATACTGTGTCCCTAATACGCTTCCGTAGGATCCTGCATCCTTTAATTAACTTATGTAAAACATTTCTGGCTTTAATAAATTCAAAAAAAAAAGCGCTTCACGCGCTAAAATTCAAAAAATGCTATTTTTTATCAAATAAAACTTACACTTATCAATAAATTAGTTTACAAATAATTAACATATCATAGTTATGAATAAATTAATTTGCAAATAATTAACTATTAAATATTTAAATATGAATAAACAAGTGAAACTGCGAGCTACTGCTCACTGATGATACCCCCGCCCAAATATTTCGGTAAACAGGAAGTTGTTGAGTGATGAATCTGAAAACGCATCACACGGTAAAGCTGACTTATATTAACCCTGAAACCAAATTTCAGAAATCCTTGTATTGTAGTTCCTGAGAAAAATGTGACGAAAATTTTCAACTTGGCTATCATGTGTTAAATGATACAAGTGTTCGGTAAACAGGAAGTTGTTGAGTGATGCATCTGAAAACGCATTACACGCGGTATAGCTGACTTATATAAACCCTGAAACCAAATTTCAGAAATCCTTGTATTGTAGCTCCAGTGAAAGATGCGACGAAAAATATTCATGGGACGGAAGGATGGACTGACGGATGGATGGAAGGATGGATGGACTGACGGATGGACTGACGGATGGACTGACTGAGGTAAAACAGTATACCCACATTTTTTTAAAGCGGGGGTATAATTAATTTATAAATAATTAACTTATTTAATACTACGTATTTATATTTTCCTGGCTTTAATAAATTTTAAAAAAGCGCTTTACGCGCTAAAATTAAAAATGCTATTTTTATCAAATATAACTAACACTTATCAATAAATGAGCTTACAAATAATTAACTAAATATCTAAATAAGTAAATAATATCATAGTTATAGTTTACAAATTGTAAACTAAATATTTTAATAAATAAATGACATGTCATAACTATGAATAAATTAATTTTATACAGATAATTAACTAAATATTTAAATAAATAAATGAGAGACTATATCTATGAATATATAGATACTATAAGATTTATTCCGTTTTATTTTTATTTACCTTGTGTTCTGTTGGTTTCAACTTGTTACTTGTAACGTCTGATGAGAATCAGTAGAAATATATGTTTTTATCTTCTATAAGTAGTGATGTAACGTGCCTTTATACGTACAGAAAGTGTACTAATGTAACGTGTTAATATTTACCAACCTTTCCGATGACATTTTAAATTAATCTCAGCGAGATTTCATTTGAAAAAAAATCGTTTAATATTATCACACTGTGTAAGGATCGCCATGATGATCGTCATGACTGGAAAAGTATAGTGCGGTCAAGGTACAGCTAAATTAGCTATGTCAAAGGTTTTTGAAAATTTTTCCATTGGCTCGTTGAATTGTTTAACTGAAAATCGAAAAAAGATAATGCATTTATATCTCTTATTTTCTAAAATATTACTGAAATAATTCTTTCAAAATGGAAGCACATTTGTATCAAATCGGCGAAAAATGTTTGTTCGTCTAAAAATCACCAAATCTCATAGATCTTTCTTGTTTCTTGCAAGCAATTGATGATCGACACTTTAAATAGAAAAACAGATCATGACAAGAAAACTTCACTCAGTCTTTATAAAAATAAAAAGATTTGGTATAATTGACAATTTGTTGACTATGCACACGGGTGTCATTCGGTATATCGAGGAAAAAGATCGTGAAAGAATACCTTACGGTGGTCAAGTATTGTGATTGGATCGTGAAAGCTCCGGTGTAGGATCGTGAAGGAAATCTTATCGAGAAGACATGTGCAAGGTCAATTACTAATCTAATTTAATGAATTATACGGACAAATTTACAAAAAAAAATAAAACTGTCTGTCAAAATGGTTCAACATTATAACCAGTATCTGAGAAAAATCAAAGTTTAAAAGTACACCGTTTTTACAAAACTACAAAAGGCAGATTGCTCCTCGACATTTCAATGACATTAAATATGTAAACAAACAAGATGTTTTTCATAATTCGAATGATAAACAACTTTTCTTTGTGAAATGTCATTCCATTTTAATGATTCAAATGGTTCTTAAAGTTACTTTGTGTTAGCATAATCAGAAATTTAGCAAAAAATTGAAATATTTATAAAAAAAATGATTTTTCCGATCGTGAAAGATCGCGTACCGCTTTTTGAAGATCGTGAAAAGGATCGTGAAAGATCTGATGCTACGAAAACGTTCAAATAATTATTTAATTATAGGATAATTTATACTTTTAATTGGTAAAGCATTTACTGAATTTGCATGACTCATTCCGGTTCCTTTTGTTGGTGAATATGGCTATAATCGTTCAATGCAATTGGTATGGTATTATCTTATAATACCATACCGACTCTAGGTGCCTTATAGCAATATCAGTATACTTGTTCGTTCTTTATAAATTTGATTTCTAATACAAATTTAAGATTAAGAATCGAACTTAATCGGCAAAATTACAGTTCAAGATGGGCATCATGCACAATCGAGTTACGTTGATTGGCAATTTCCCCACTAAGTTGGGTACAATGACGTATAGCTGTTGTGAACAGACTGATCAAACAATCAAGTAAAAATAACGTTATCTTGGTACCTTTTTAGTTTATGTCAGCGCAGCCACGAAATAAACATTAAATTAGCCAATACTGTCATACTATGTACGCACAAACGACACTCCATATAACTGAAAGTAACAACCCTTACACAAAAAAAAAAAAAAAAAAATGCGTACACATGCATATATTTCCAGGGCGGATGCTTTAAGCATTATGGATACATAATTATATACTTTTACTTTTCGACAATTTACGCTCCTGAAGGTCCTTTCATCTTGTAAATCTACTTATCTAGACACGTGTTTAGTTATTTAAATAACTTCTAAGGAAAATTGTTGAAATAAAAAAAAAATGGAAATAAAATGAAAGCAGTACTGTTCGTTCTTATCTAAATAATTACACGCTTCAACTTTTTGCCAGTATATCAATTGGTAAAAGAAATATTGTTTTCTGATTATTAAGTCTGGTCTGGCGCGAGACGTTTGCGGTTTTTATAATGGACATTAGCGCTTTAATTTTTAGGACATTTACGCTTTAATTTTTAGGACATTTGCGCTTTTTTAATAGGACATATGCGCTTTATAGAGGGTGGATGGGAGTAAAATTAATTCCTTATAACAACCATGACTCTTTCTAAAAGTCAACAGGTACAGCAGGTGGTTTAACAATAAAATTTCGGTCTTCACAAATTGAAGCTTAGATAAACTATGAAGGTACAATTCCTTGGACTATTCATGCTACAAAATGGACAAATATATCTGGTTTACCAGAATAAATTTTTCTGATTTTGTCGTTTGTTCGGAAGAACTTTCAAAGAATATGTGAACATCTTTCCATGACTTGGTAAATTATTATAGGTGAAAAGCGCAAATGTCTTGTCAATTTTGTACAGGTGTATCAAAGTTTAAAGCGCAAATGTCCATAGTATTTGAAGCGCATATGTCCATAGTATTTGAAGCGCAAATGTCCATAGTATTTGAAGCGCAAATGTCCTTTAGTGTAACGGTAAAAAAAAGCGCAAACGTCCTGCGTCCGTCTGGTCACGCCTTGTCTTTAACGATGAAGATAATGCTTTGCCCGATCTTTCACGATCAATTTTGATGAAAAATCAACAAAATTCAATGTTTTCAAAAACAAAATGAACGGTTTCAAGGAATAAAAAACTTTTATTTTTCTGCTCTATCTAACACACCAAAAATTCAGTTTCAAATATATCATTATATATTGAAATGTGACCATTATAGGTACAAAACGTGTTTTTTTTTAATGAATCCCATAGACCTGTGTTGCGCCTTTTGTGTTTTCTCATAAACATTATTGAGAAAGTTGAATCATTTTGACAGACATAATTTTTTTCGGATTTGTTCTGCGTTTTGAAAATACAGCAGATTTTTCACAGATTTTGAAGTAGAATTACAATTTATTACATTCACGATCCGATACCAGATCTTTCACCGTTAGGTATTCTTTCACGGTCATTTTTCTCGATATACCGATTTTTTCTGATTTTCCTCATTTAAGTGTATTTCGTCAGTTATGAATTTCGTGATTTTGTTATTTATTATAACGTTATTATAGAGCTTACTAGCGCTTTTCCTGAACTATCTTCTATTGTGTATTATTTTATGTATCTTACGTAGTCCACTTCCACCGATCGAGAATAAAAAAAACAGAAGGATTTAAATCACAAAGTATAGCTTAATTTCGTCATATATCCAAGTGCCTGTCACAAGTCATGATTATCCTCGGTGGTTGTTGTACGGTCAATATTTGTTGTTTTTTCTTATGACGGAAGAATCTTGCAATCTGATTGATCAATCAATTGGGTGTAAAAACAAACACCCCACCCCAGTTCACCCCGGGATAAAAAGTAAAAATTTTGCAAAAATTTTCTCTCCCCAAAATTCCCGAAAAAATCAAATTTTTCATAATTCCCAAAAGTTAATAAATATACAAAAAAGGTTATATTTGACAATGGGCAACAGTTTGGTGTTGAAAAAAGTGTGTAGTGTTCTTCATATTGATTTTTCAATTTTATTCCCCAGTATAAAAGAAATAAAGGAACGTTTCATAAGAAATAAATTCTTTACATTGGCACAATCAGGGTCTACGGAATTTTTTACCGGTGTACGATTCTGTACACCCCTGATTTCACCAAGATAGCTAATATTATTTGAGAATTTTTAGTGTTGATAACATCGCTATAGGTTTTGTCTCATTGACGTATACCCCATGTATCCTTTCTCGCCTTAGATATAACATCGCTATCGGTTTTGTCTCGTTGACGTATGCCCCATATACCCCACATATCCTTTCTCTCCTCAGATCCAATATCGCCTTTATCTTATGTAAGCATCGATTGTTAATATAAGTCAAAATAACAAACGCATATGGATATATACCTTATTTGTTTCACCTGTGCTTGTTGATTATCAGAACAGTGCAGAAATCTCTGAAGATCTCCTGGTAACGATCAATATTGCCAAAGTAGTTGGGGGGGGGGAGGGGGGTGGGGGGTAGAATAGTACATAAATTTCAGACGCGGTTTCAGATCTTAATCTCTAAACATAACAAGGATACAACGAATTTACAAACAATTCACAAAATGCTTCCTTAAATAAAACCAAATGGCTGTTAAAATGTCAAATCTAAATTACATATGATCTGAACTGATGTCGTAAAATAAGAATGTCTCTTTTTGCATTTTTTCATGAGTTGGTATCATGTAATTTTAGCTTTACGGTTTTCTCTCTCGTAATATTTCGTAATATATTGAAAGCTATTTTTTTTCAGCAAGGAAATTTTTGAATATACCCCAAAAATGGAAATTATGAAGGACAGGGAAAAAAAAGTTTTAAAAAGACGAGTAATAATCTTAAAAACATTACACATAAACAGAATGATAATCATAACGTGGATTTCAACGCAGGTGCACAGCAACGGAAAGATGCACTCGATGTACTAAAAGTATTTCATCAGTCGTTCATATTAAAACTTGTAATAAGTTAGGTCACGAATGAGGAGGAATGTAAAGAATGTGGATAAAAGCAAATCCTTGCTCATCTATCGCGCTGAAATTCATTAACGTCCAACCAAGATATGAAGTCGATCGTAATTTTTGGGTTTAATTATTTCAATTTTACCATTAAAAAAAACATTTCCTTCGTAGCTTCAAGATTCTTCAATTAATGAAAACTGGCAAGAAAACATGAACTCCGAAGCTTAGAATACTCTGAGAGCGATGAGGGTGCACCTGAAATGTTGCTATATATATTATCATAAAGATGGAAAGTGCATAATGGGAAAATTTAAATGGTCTCATCTGAGCAAAATTTTTTGAAAAATTAGATATTAAATAAGTCGATCCAACATACGAATGTAGGTACTGTATCACAAATCGGCGTAAGAAATACATCAAAAATAGGCGGACCGGTCCTTTCGGAAAATCCAACCACTAAAAAAGTCGTCTAAGATACCATTGTTACCACGAGAAACGCGCTCTTTGACTAACCTGTCTCAGGTCTCATCAGTAGCGTCACGAATCTCAATTAATTTGAAGTTAATTGAAGGAATAATTTGACAAGTATTCACCTTTTCGTAGAATAACCTTTACTTAGACTAGTAAGCTCAATCATCTGCGTGGAAATTCAAAAGAAAGACCCTTTTGGTTTTAAGCAGTTTGAGATTTCTTTACCTACAAAATTAATGACTTGCCTGTTGGTACTATAGATTTTTTTTCTTTCAAACCAGGTCAAAAAGAGGTAGGACAAATTTCCCCTGAATGTGTTTCAGAAAGGGGACATTTCCAAAAATTCTTTCAATCTAAACTTAAATTCAATAAAAAAATAAAAATAATATTTAGTAACAATATCATGGCTTATTTTAAAAAAAAAAACAGGCTTATTTTTTGAAAAAAAAACAAAACATATCACCTTATTATAAACGCAAGATATACAAGATAGCCAAAACCCGTAATTTGGACAGGTATTTTAAATTTAATTGTTAACCTCCAAGTTATTGTTGTTTTTTTTCTTGGTGTCAAGTGGCAAATAGTTCATGCATATTAAGGTCGAGAAATACAATAGGTATGTTCTGCAAGATAGGTCGACCGAGAAGAAGGGAAGAAAATTTCGCCTGCCACTCGGGGGAAAATTGGGGAATAGAATTTGCCTTGCAACAGGCCACATACATACAAGGGTTCGTTAACGTGCAAAAAGTGGGGCACTTACCCTACACGATGCATCAGGTTTAACGTTCCAAACGGATGTCCGACTTTCTGAAGGGTTTTACTGCCGGATGGGAGAAGTCCGGTGATAACCATATTTTAATACCTTAGTCAACCCCTTGGGTACCAAATTAAAAGAGTTTGCAATCATGAAATTGATTTCAATTATTTGTTTTTTTACATTCTTTATTTTTGTTGTCTAGTATAAAACGTTAATGAGGAGATGTTGTATGATTAACGAAGGGAACCCCCGTAATATAACAAATAACAAGGAGGTTAACTTCAAATCACAGTACAGCCTTAGTTCAGTGATGAACAAACTCCATATCAAAATTGTAAGTTATAAGAAAAAATTGAATCAATTGAAACAAATCTCATGAACCATACCAGACGTTTTTCCTTTGCTTTTTGTCCTTTTTTTGCTGTGCATGTATCGATTTTGTGTCATGGATGGATAACCCATTTTTCTATTATAATTTAGTATGGGATACGCACGTTTCGTCTTTGTACGCTCACCAGAAGCGCTTGAATCAGCAAAGTTGGCAAAACCTTTCGGAATTGTGGGTCCTCAATGCTCTTTAACTTCATACTTTATTTGGCCTTAAACTTGTTTTATTCGAGTGTCATTGATGAGTCTTTTGTAAACGAAATGCGTGTCTGGCGTATATAAAATTATAAGCCTGGTATTTTTGATGAGGTTAATTTTATTTACAACCACTGGGCTGATGCCACTGCTGGTCGGGGGGTTTCCTCCCCGGTATATTGTTGTGTCGATAAGTATCACCAGCTCGGTAGTCAGCACTTCTGTGTTGACATGAATTAATTATCATTGATATTGTCATATCTATAAATTGACTGTTTACAAAACTTTGACTTGTTCGAAATACCAGAGACATATAGACTATAATACAATGTATCTTATGTTTCCGAAAATACTAAGGATCTTCAACATTAAGAATAGCTAGTCTTATCTGTATTTGACAAAACCTTTCGAAATTTTTGGTCCTCAATGTTCTCCAGCTGAGTACTTTATTTGGCCTTGCCTTTGACTTTTTTATTCGAGCGTCACTGATGAGTCTTTTGTAGATGGAAACGCGCGTCTGGCCGTTACGAAATTATAAGTCTGTATGGTATCTTTGGTGAAGTTTTTTTTAGACCAAATCAATAATGAAAATGAATAGAGAATATTGAAAATAGAAAATTCCAAAAAAGGAACAACTAATCTATTGAGTTTAGCCATTTACAACTGATATTTATAGCTTGTTTTTTTGTTGTTTTTTTTTGGGGGGGGGGGGGGGGGCAGGAGCCTGAAGCTAACGTTTGGAGTGATACTTGTAAACTGAAAAATATGCATTTATCATATTTGTAGCTCCATAAGAGGCCAAGTCCCCTAAATCTGCGTCTGCTATTTTCTGTTTCTACATACAATGTAAGTGGAAAAAACTGTTAAAATGGGGTCTACTGAGCTCTCACGTTATATAGACATTCTGTTGAAACTTTTCTTAACGAACTGAAAGCTGAAAACTTTCTGTAAATTTTCTATATTTAAAGAAAGAAAAATAATTGTGTGATTTCAGAATGACAGTTGGTATTACCGTTTACCATTCAAACTAACTTAACTATATAACTTGATATACGTTTTCCATAGTACGTGTCACATGATCCAGTGAATCGTTAAACGTCGGGAACTTTCGGCACGGATTTAACATGGCTGCTGTGACGCCATGTCGGTGTTAAAAATGACAATGTAAAATCGTAGAAATTTCCAGATGCCAGGCCAACAGAGGCCCCATATGACTAATTTACTTTATAAATATTGTGCAGAGAGTGTATATATTGGACTTAGAGAGCTTCAAACTGATTTGGGGCTTTCGTTTTCAGTTTAATGGAATAATATGAATCTTGACTCATTATCTTTTGCCTTGGCTGAAATAAGTTATTCAGTGGCCAATTTGACAAAGAAAAATTTTAAATCGAGTATAACAGAAATCAGTCATGTACGTATTATCATGAGATTAATGACAATAACGCTTATACTCCGAATATAACCAGGGATTGTGCCAGAGTGTCGTTATCAAGGGAGATAATTTTAGCTCGTGTGATCATGACCAATATGTGCACATGATTTACTACTTACTGTACAAATTAATTCAGTTTATATATCATTTCATTATCACTTTAAAAATATACCAATTCATTTGTTTGTATTGAAAGTTTTACCTTGATTGTTTTATGCACCCTTTTTACATGTCTCAGTCTCTGTACTTTGAAAGGGTGCAAGACTATCTTCTGACTTCTATGAAGGCAACTCCGACTGTCAGTAAGTCAACTTGGACCGTCTATGAATTCAACTCTGACCTTCTATAAAGTCAACTAGGACAAAATATGAAAAGATAGTTTTTACATGCATCTGTCTATTGTTGAAGATTGGAATAATAAAATTTACATTACCGATTGTAACATTTAATAATTTATAATCAATTACATAGTCAAAACTTTCCTTTAATACTTTGTCTGGGTTGACATTATAGATGGTTCGAGTTGACAGTATAGACCGTCCGAATTGACTTGTTAGTCGGTCTGAGTTGATTCAGTCCTATTTGTCCCCGGGCGAGTTGTACCATATTCCTTTGAAAGAGGTTCATCATGCAGTGATCATGTCAAATGAAAATTTAGTCATGTATTCCTGTCTCAGTCTTTAGTTCAAAGATGCATCAAGATTGTACAATGTATCAACACAGCCCTGATGTCATCATTTTACAACAAAAGTTTAAAAATATATATTTGGTGAGATTTCTTTGCTCTACTTTGTCATGGAGACTGAAATAATGAATTATATATCAATAAGATTTCATCTTCTCTCTCTGTTGGACATGCCATCGCAAAAATGACAAGTCCCTGGACTTGGCTTCAAAAATCCTTAGTGGGAACCTTGGTCATATGGAAACATACTCTTAAGGCATTTTATCTTGATTCCTCATCCTGGTATTTATCAGAAGGTATTCAACATATCCATGGTGAACTTACTAAGTACAAGGAATGCTTTGATGAACTTTGGTTGGGGCAACAGCGCTCTATGCAAGATTTTTTTAACACCAACACTTATGGCCACAAATTTTCTTTTTTTTACATAAATGCATATGACTGGTTAAGAAACTCATTAGTAAATCCTAGTGGACCTTTATTATGTTACTTATCATACTTATCATATTTCCGACTGATACAGACATGGATTATTGCTCGATGGAAAGGCTAGAGCGCTGTTTCCATTCCTTCTGGGAAGTCAGTAAATTTTCAGAATAGATAATTGGTATTAATCAGAGATGCTTAATCAATCCTATTCTGATTCATTTTCAAAATTTATTAGTACAAAAACTAGGTCTTATCCAGGGTTTAAGCTAGGATTTTGAGGGCTTTAGTCACTTTTGCGCGAGATGAAAATCAACATTATTTTGGGTAACAGCAAAGGGACCAAGGATGTGTGTATATAACTAGCTATACATCTTTGTCAAACTTTGAAGGACTAAGGCATAAATTTACTAGGCAGTAACTGCAATGGTTTGACTGATGTGGCACTTCAAAAATGAAGATTAGGATATAAAATCTGGAAATCTAGTTCAAACTTTCACTACGGCCCCAGCTTGTCTGGCGATATAGCCGTTGGACGTCAGAGTAATCTCGGACTAACTTTCACTTCAATAAGTTTCATGTGCCCAACAAAAAATGGCTTCAATTTGTCAGTTGGAACAAAGGATTTGTACAAATCCTTATTGGAACGATTCTAATAACTGTAAATTGTAATTGAGAATTGATCACGTTTACTTTCGATTTTCAAATGAAATGAAACGGGAAGTGACAAGTAGATTAATTATAAATTCAAAATGAATCCGGATTCATCTACGGATTGGTTCGTGTTTAAAAAAGGCAGGAAATTATCATTTTTTAATTTTAATTTGCTTATTAAGAGCTATATTTGTCTCTTTCATTTATTTTGATACTAAATTTATTTCGTATTTTACGTTTTAGTGTCTATAAATTCATAGGAATACTTTCACGCATGCGCAGTACATCGGAAAGGAAGCACCTGTTTGACTCGTGAAAACATTTCTGAACGTTCTGAATAAAGTTCTATCTTTTTAATCGAAATTGAAAGTTTTACATCAAAGATGACGAAAATAGGATCATTTGCCGAAACTACGACAAACGAACTGCAAATTGTGATCATTTTAGAAACATTGAAATTAAAAAGCGAACTTTCAGGGGGAAAACAATATTTTGTTCAAATGACGAAACTACGACAAACGAACTGCAAATTGTGGTCGAAGGCCTTTGGAAATATTGAAATTTAAATACCGACTGACTGATTTAACTGGGGAGAATAATTATGATGGTCAATTATGAAGTTTGGTAATAATTAACAGATTAGTGACCCATCCGATGGCGATAAGCAGATTAACTGTAATCACAACTTTATAACACTTGTTGTAAATGTTAATTAGCGGAGGGTCATAAACTTGTCAGAAACATAAAGACAGGTAGAATTGTTTTTCAATGCGAAAATATTTTTACACTTTCCAAATTCAAGTGACGAAACTGATTTGAAATACTTTCGTCATTTTGAAAACAGTTTCGTAAATGACGAAAGTGACGAGCGCTAGCAAAATCACTGTCTTATCACACAATGATCTATTGATATGGTATGGGTGGGCTCAAGTTATGACATCAAATAGTCCTTTTGAATCTTAAACATGATGAAAGAGATAAATAGTTTCAATTATCTTAAAAAGTCACTGTATTCAATACACCTGTAATTCTTTGAATTTGGCTTACCTTATATAATATAATTTTGTTTTTTTTTTCATTTATTTTTCAGCTTGTAAATCAACACGGAGCAGAAGCTGATAGACATTTATTTCGTTGTCTTTTTTCTCATGTTGATTTTAGTGGTGATGGTCGTAGTAGTGGAAAAGACTTTCACCAGGTATTAAATTAGAATGAATAAATATGAATAAATATGTACAACTGTGAGTCCAGCTTTACTTGAAAAGTAAAATGTGTGATTTAAAACCCGGGTAAAAAACACAGTTGTCATGCTGATATTAAATGTTTTCCATTTCTGATACATGTATGTTGAAAAGATCAACATGCACATAAAGTTGTAGTAAATGGAAACATTTGCATGGTGAAGATAGTAGACACATGTATCATTTTTGGAAAAAAAAGTTTTGTTCTAACCAAAAAGACGAAAACTTTAAACTAAAAAAAATCAAAGGTTCGTTTATAGTCATGACCAGGCTCATGTTAGCAGGTGACTTGAAAATTGCCTTTAACTAGTGCAACTATGCCTTCAAGGTATCTAAAAAGGACAATAAAGTCACAGGGAAGTTTGAACAGTTACCTGTGCAAATAATAAAGAAACAAAATTCTATCAAAATACAAATTTAGTTTCATTAAAAAATAGGAAGCATTTGAAGAATTGAACATTTCTGTGTATTTTCTCTTTTGACATGTTTTATTGATTAATTTCTTAAGTTCAATTTTTGGGGGATCAATTGCTGTAAATAATGACACTTATTTGATTAGTAAAAAAATGAAAGAAAACTGAAAAAAAATCTGACTTTATGGTACTAATTACATTAAAGTCATACTATTCTTGTAAGGAATACTTGTATAAGGTTATACATTTCTTCAACATGAATAGTGTTACTCTCTTCCATGCATGGCTACTTGAAACTTACATCATGTACATGATCAAAATAAAAATAAAAGTTGTGAAAATTTAATGAGATAAATAATCTTGGTTCATTGAACCAGATAGAAGTTCAACCAAAATTGTCTATTTATAGCAAAATTTCAATAGGTTTTCCTTTTATGGGGGGAAAGGGGGTTGATATTAATTGAACAGTGAGCATGTCAACTATGTGTTTGCTTGAATTTAGATGCACAAGTTAATACTTTTGTAATTTGTATGATCAATCTTGATTAATCATAGCTTTTTGTAGACATTTAGAGCAATGTAGAACTTAATTTGTATAAAATTGCAATTTTTATTTCACTACATTTATGTTTCACTTTTTTTCAGACTCAGTATTTGATTCAAGAGTGTTGTTCATTGCTGAGTAAACCCAATTTTGTATCCATATTGTGTTATTCTGTTGACAATCCATTACATCATCAAAAGGTTTGTACTGCCAGAGTAATATAAATAAGTGGATAACACATGATAGAAATGGAATTTATTTAAATGATGATACTGCTTGTTATACCCACCTCTCTGTCCTTTTGTCCTTAGTCCATCCAAACAAAATATTTCTGTCACACTTTTCTTAGGTACTAATGAACAGAATGATATGATAATCAGCAGGTTGGTGGCGATGAGTTTTGTGGGTTGTGCTCTTTTCAAATCTGCCAAATGTCAAAAACATACTTTCTGTTTTTCTATACTTTGAATTACTTGTAAGGAAATGCCTAGTCTGACAATGAATGCATTGTTACAAAATTGACAATTTCACCTTTCACAAAATATAGGTAGAAACTTTTACAAGCAGATCAAATTTAAAGGTATTTGTTCATGTATGCAGAATTCATACCATTAAGCAAACATTTGTAACTGTAAAGATGAGTTAAATCTTAGGAGAAATGTGTGCTGAAAGATGTTTGAAGGGTGATCAGGTAAGGCTGATTTTGTGACGTATATTTACTCTTCAAATTTCTTTTCTTTTTTATGTTGAGTTGGTGCACACTGTTGTCCACTATTGTAGTCTCAGCAATGGTTTGGAATGTTAAAACCCTGATTTAGTAACTTTGTTGGTTTATTTATATAAAAAAAGAATAATTAGATGTACCTATAGCTCACAAACCAGTATTTTTCTCTTTCAGAATTTGAAACCCTCCCCTCATTTGCTGCCACAGATCAGCAAAGTTATAAAGTTAAATCGTGTTCAAGAAGTAACATTTGGCATTGCACTTCTCCATTCTTCAAACAGTGAGACTCGTCAATACGCAAGCCAGTTTGTCAGACAGAAGCTTCCTGACCTTATTAGATCCTATGTCGATCCAGGTGAGTATATCAAATTACTAAAATTACTCTGTTGCATGTTTTATTGGAGACAGAATTCTGCATTTTCATCCTTTGTAACATTAGAATTGAAAGATAAAAATTTAAAGATGTTCATCTAAAATGAAAAATTGATCTGACTTGATTTAAGAAGGTGAATATCAAGATGATTTGCCTAATATCTCTCCCATGGATGTAAATTAGATAAACTAAAATTTGTAAATCAGTTGTAACATAGATCAAATTCATTGTCATACACCTGCGACTCTTTTCACAAAAAATCTTACGATTAAAATTGATCGTAAGTTATACTGAAATGTGTGTGACTTGCAAGTATTTTTACTCTTAAGAATTTTTGTGAAAAGAGCCGCTGGTTTTAAAACCTGATAACAAAAATTAGGAATTTGTTTGAAAATAGTGTCATTATTAATATACAAAATTATGTCTTTTTATAGAATCAAGTTTAAGACAAGAAGGTGGACTACAGGACGTTGCCATAGAAGTTTTACATCTACTCGTGGTTCACCTCATTCGTAACAAAGATAACTTTGGAATTGGAAACGATCAAAAGGAAGTGTTTTTGTCAACATTAAGGAAAGGTATGAAGCAGTTATAAAATTATAAACATTTAGACAGAGCATTTTGTTAACCTCTGGTTTTGTTAACTGTAGAGAATACATGCAGTTAACTTAATAATTGTAAAACCCTAGTTTCTAAATTGTTTGGTTCATCATCAATTTCTATTATAGCAGTCACTCAGCTCTAGTTTTATATTTCATCCATTCCTATTCCAGTAAAACTTGTTCCCTTGCTACACAACTACTGGGAAAAAGTCTTAAATTACATTTTTGACTGTTCATTTTAGCTGCACAAATTTTAATTATCATTTCAACTAAAGCTATTTTTATATTTTCCAGATTTCCCACACGAAAGAGTTCCAGTTATTTTGGGACCTTTATTGTATCCAGAATCGGAAGATTTAGCTGTTGATAAACTGACAGATATATCAAACATGCCTAAATCAGTGGTATGTAAATCTAACATGCCCAACTCAGTGGTATGTAAAGTTAAAACATTGTTACAGCAGATTTATATTCAATTGCTTTCTCTTATTTTTTCAAACTTACATTTTCACTTGTTTTAGCTTTTCTCTAGCAGTGTTCTCCTCAGAAATTTCTTATATCATCCTGGTAAACAGGAAATTATGAAATACCTTCTTTTTTCTAAAAACTATAGCATCACATCCATAACACTATCTATAAGAAACTTATTTCAGATACCATCACAATCTAGCAATATAACATCACATCACCATGATGCTAAAAGGCCCTGAGGAGAACACTGTTTTGTGCAAAATCATCAAAATCTAAAATTGCATTGTCAAACTCTATAAAGGATGAATACATAGTCAAACTGAATTGGTTCCACCTGAGGTTGAAATTTAAAATAAAATATTAACTGAATTTTATCCATGTTTAGGTCTGTTTCCATTAAAAACAAACATGGTAACCATAGAAAGCATTTTGAAAATGAGGAACCATGACCCCCTATAGATGCAGTTTTAGAAATTTACTGTATGAACAAATAATTGACAACCTGCCATAGTAGAGATTTTGAAATGCCTTCTCTGGGTCAGTGGGTCCCAACGTATGTTTTAATAGAACAGCCCTTACATAATTCACTACTAAAGATTCATTTAATTCATGGGTAACAATTTTTTTGGAAACTTGATTTCCTGGTTTCAGAAAATTTCTTCATACAGGCGTACAGGAAATTTGTACATTAGTTGTATGCCCACAAAATCTACAAAAATAATACCCCATGAATAATCATGAATCCTCAGTATTTGAAATACTGAATGAAAACTTTTTTCTGATTCTCAGTTTTAATAACTATTGTTCTACTTCAGTTTGATTCCTCCTTGGATTATATGATCTTAGAAAGAGGATACAGTTGTACAGCAAGGTAATGTTCTCAATAAAATAAATAAAACAAGTTTTTACATGTACATTCAACATTTTGACAGTTCTAATTGAGGTGGCATGATTCAGTTATTAGATTTTTCAAGCTATAATATTCAAATTGTTTTATTTCACTAAGGTTGTGAGTTCGAACCCTGCACCTGCATTTCAGCATGGAGGAGGTCGTCCAATTAAATTTTGCTGCATTGTCTCAACTATTTACCAAAAAAATCTCAAAAGCTGCTTCTAACGAACAAATTGACTTCTACATAATAATGTGAACATGAAAATCATTAACAATAAAGTTTATGTAATCTGTCACACTTCAGCGTTACCACCAACACACTTCGGCGTAGCTATCAACAAGATGATGTCACAAAAGCACCATCGCACTTTACATGATGAAAAACACACTTCAGCCTCAAACCATTGCACTTCAGCATGACCATCAGGGTTCAGAGTCATTAATATATATATATATAAATTTTGAATCAGATTATGCTTTTCAATTCAGTCCTGAAGAATGCAGAGTAATGCTAATGCAGTTTGGAGTAAGGGAAGTAACTCCTGCATCAGTTGCTAAAGTACTTGGAATGATGGCAAGAACACCAACGGGGCTAAACATGCATAGTGATCAGGTAGTGTTTTCTTAATACCAATTATTGAGTTTATTACATGTTTGTCAAAAACAGACAAAGTGGAAAGAGTTTGTTCTGTATTTGATATGGCCTGTGATTTTAAATCAAAGAGAAATTAGAAAGAAAAACTAAAATAACATTTTTTGCCTTTGATCCTGTATTATAGATAAATATCTAGAAAACGTCTGGAAAAGATATTTGCCAACATCATCATTGCATGTTTTCATTCTAATATCAGATAAACTTGTTGGATATGGAAATGGTTGAATTATAGTTACAAATATTTACATGACATTTATGCATATAGTTATTGAAAGTACATTTAAGGTATAACATTCTGTGGTATCCTGTGGTCAGATGCAAGTCAATATTAGACATGTGACACAAACCTAGGATACTGATTGCTTTACCCTTCACACATATTACTAGAATAGTTGTCATCAGGCCTTTTGGTCAGTACTTGAAGTACAAAATTGGTGCTCAAAACATTTAAGTTGATTTCTGAATTTGTGTACGATAATCTAGTTTTATGACTGTAAGCCCAGGTATGCTAGAAAAGTTTAGAAAGTCAAATATATGAAACATTGAAGTGCATCAAATTGAAAAAGGACCTTAATAGAATTGCTAAACTAGCTATGGTCAACATTGCATTAGTGAGTTTAAACTGAAGTTGTTTAAATTACATAATTTAAAATTGACTATAAAGAGGCATGAACTATAATTTACAGGTGACTTCTGACTGGGATATGTCAGATAAGACAGAGAAGCCTGGGATTAATACATGGAATGTGGATGTCTTCATCGGTGTGGTACAAGATTTGGTATGTACCTCGTGGAACAACAGACAGGTTGGTTATTTATATATTTATTGATCATTAGAATGGGCGACTGATTTAGGGGTAACCTACTTTATTTTGTGTATCTATGATGAGTTTATTTGTGCCCCTCCTATGATATATTGTTAAGTAGTGATAGTCAGCAGTAGTATACTTATAAAATTCCAGTTTAACTCAAATGTTAAAAGTGTATTGCCAAGATTTAATATTAGTTATTTTGTGTGGGAAAACTTTTAACAATTTGACATTTCAATAATGAATACAGAGTTTGATATTTTTATGTACAAATTATTATATACAAAATATATATATAGCTATGAAATTCTATATCCTTATTAGGTGACTGTATTTAATGTAAATGTTAACATATAATGTGTATTTGATATACATGTGTAATATCACATTTTACAAGCTGAAAATGTATGATTATTTCAACATTCCCCCCTTAAAAAAAAGATGATTTTGTATTTGCTAATGTGTTAAACAATATGATTCCTGAGCTTTGATAGTTGATTTAAATGTTTTTAATGATACCATGGAATGTTTTGTTTTTGACTTCAGGCTCCTCACTTTAATTGGAGAGATGTGGTGATAGAACTTGATCACCCTAACTTCATGGTCCTCAACAAAAAGGGACTACGGTTACTTGTACAGGGACTAATTAAAGGACTACAGGAAGTTTTCCCCATTGATTACATATACAGGCCATGGAAAAATACAGAAGGACAGGTTTGTTGATCTATCAATGTTTCATGTACAAAAAAATGTATATGTTGTTTCAGTAAAATAGTGAAATTTGTGAACAAAAGTTTTAAAGATTTTAACATCAACAAAGCTCTTTTCAATAAGACCTGGCTTCAATACTGAATTTGTTTCTAAAATTATATCAAAGAGAGTACATCTGGTTTGACTATTTGTAGAGATATTTTGAGAAGTAAGTGATTAAATGGGTGTTACTGCAAGGCCAAATAGGGCAAATTGAAAAATATGTGTGTGAGGATTTTTTTCGACCTACCCTATTTTTGAGTTTAACTCTTTCAGCACTATGACCCGGTTTACCTGGAAATCAATTTTACTTCGGTAAACACTATAGCCCGCTATACAGGGCTGCACATGCTACTTTTTTTATTCCAAGATATCCATTGGTCGGTCGTCGGGAAAACCCCTTTGAAGTAACATACTATCATCATATACATTCATTCGAGTTACTATGGCTTTTTCCGTATTTTTAACGGAAAATAAAGTAAATATTGGTCTATTATTAGCGATGAAAATTTTTGGAAATTTTGTACACAAAATGGTGGATATCGATAGTGAAAACTAACTGTCAGGAGACGAAATTATTGATTTATAATGTCAGCTAATTTGACTTAATAAATGTTAATAAAGCTGACAGATATGAATTTGAAAGGCAATGGAGAAATATAGTAGGGGAAAGTGATGATGAAGATGACTTACGAGGGGTTTGAAGCCGCGGACATGTTGACAAAAATTTTGACACATGGAGAAAGACAGAAACTCAAAGAAACATTCATAAATGTAGGGAACGTGTGGGCCCAGTTAGAAATTTTGACACTTCAGCATCTGCCCTGAACTATTTTCAATGTTTTTATACTAAAGAAGTCTCCACTTCTATCGTCAATTTAACTAATTTGAAGGGAATCCGAAAATTGAACATGAAAGTTGACACATTTACCTGTGCTAACGAAGTACAAATACCTTGTCAGTTGAGACAATATATCATTTATTTTTTAGCTCACCGGGGCCGATGGGCCCCATGTGAGCTTATGCTATCACTTGGCGTCCGTCGTCGTAAACTATTTCAAAAATCTTCTCCTCTGAAACTACTGGGCCAAATACCTTCAAACTTTAATTGAATGTTCCTTAGGGTATCTAGTTTATAAATTGTATCTGAAGTTTTGATCCATCGACAAACATGGCCGCCATGGCTAAAAATAGAACATAACGGTCAAATGCAGTTTTTGGCTTATATCTCAAAAACTAAAGCTTTTAGAGCAAATCTGACATGGGGTAAAATTGTTCAATTGGTCAAGAACTATTTGCTTTGAAATTTTCAGACGAATTGAACAACCCATTGTTGGGTTGCTGCCACCGAATTGGTAGTTTTAACAAAATTTTGCAGTTTTTTGTTATTATTTTGAATATTATTATAGATATATATAAACTGTAAGCAGCAATAATGTTCAGCAAAGTAAGATCTACAAAAAAGTTAATATGACCATAATTGTCAATTGACCCCTTAAGGAGTTATTGCCCTTTAAAGACAATTTTACACAATTTGTTCATCAAGTTTGCTAACATTTAAAAATCTTCTCCTCTGAAATACAGGTGAGCGATTCAGGCTCTTGAGAGCCTCTTGTTTAATAATCATAAACTATTAAATCAATATAAATTCAAACGAAAATAAAAGTGATTTCATAGTTAAAACACCAGTTTATCAAAATTACCTGATTTACCTGTATGTCACCATAAGTCACAATAAGACAACAGGTACATCAAATACAAAGTATGCTGATTATTTTGATACCTCATATGATGGAATTGGATGACAGATACAAATATACATCAGTTTAAAAGTACCTACCTTAAATAAATGAAAATTCTCAAAGTTACTTAGTGTTGAAGGGTATAATACATTGAAAGTTATGCAGTGTTGAAAGAGTTAAACCATAACTTTTTTCTGAAAATTTCTTCACCATAAATTCACAAACATTTCAGTTGTTATATCTGCTTACTTATTCTATTAAAATAATGGACAGATTTGATCAACATCACCTTAATCATTGTTACTTTGTTCACTGACAAATTACAAATAGCAAACTTGCGGTAAGACAATATGTGAATACTGGAATCAAGACTGTGAATTTTTTGGGGTTTTATTATACAAATACAACTGTATGCAAATAAACACGGGATAAGCAATAGGCTATACAACCTGTAAATCATTGGTTCTTTATGTCGTTGAGTAAATGGTTCTAAAGGGGAAGTTTTGTTTAGTATTAATTTTAGATTCTATTCATCAAGGCGCTTCCTTAGAACAATTAGACACAGATTTAAATCTCAAAAACACATGTAGGATTTTTTTCACCGAATTTCCATTATTTTACTAAATAAGAAAGAAATAAAAAAAGTTTTTTCAACATTCAACTTTTAATACAATTTTTGCATATTTAAAATGGACTTATTTTTTTTCAGTTGTCATTGATTGTACAGGCCTTACGTAACCCAGATGTCTTCTGTTTTGCTGATTACCCTTGTCACACAGTGGTAACAGACATACTTAAGGCAGCACCAGATGATGACAATAGAGACATTACAACATGGTAGGCTGAACTTAGACTTTTTTTTTTATTTAAGAATTGAATGAATGCTTCTTTTTGAAATTTTATTGGGGTGTAAAAGCGTTAGACAAAGTACATAAAAATGTGTGCACATTCAACGCTTTTACGCCCCTATTAGATTACAATAAGAAGCATTGAATTCATATAATAACATTTTTATGCTAAATCCATGAAATAAGGAGATAAATCAAGCCTTATTTGTTTTTATGTGCATTGTTTTAATGTTATCACGGTTAGCACCTGCAGTCATATTATAGATGTTGCATATTATACACAAATGAAATTTAACTTCTTGAATGCTTTGGCCAATCAAAGTTACGGAATTGTATGAAACTTCTTTGTAATGTAATTATTCATTAAACATTGTAACAATCTTCCATTTTATGGAGAAATTCTTGTTCTGCAATGCTGACAATGTCATGGAATGTCTTATTAATGCTCTCCCAACCCTTTTAGCATCCCGGTAATGTGATGCTACCTAAAATGATTTTCTTGTATAAAGATTCATGAAAGTGATGCTATAATTTCGAGATTCAAGATGGTTTAATAGGATCAAATGAATCTTCATACATTGTATCTGAGATCTTTTGTCATTCTCTCTTGATAGTGTAATGATTCTTTTTCTTTCCAATTTAAAGAACACACAAAAAAAAACCTGATTACAAGTTATATTAGTTATCTAAAAATTGGGAAGAAATTCAGTGGCAAATTTACTGACAAAACAATTGCTGTACTTCTTTTCAGAGTAAGTAATACATGTTTGCATTTCCCATTAGTAATATAAAATACGATTGTTTTAGGAGATCATTAGATATGGTTGAGACATTACTGAGGTTATCAGAAGCAGGACATTACCAACAAATATCCGAGTTATTCAAGTTCCCAATACAAAACTGTCCAGACATGCTGGTATTGGCATTACTACAAATCACAGTAAGTTTTACCTAGTTTACAATCTAGAATGATTTTTCGTAATTTCTCTGAAAGATGAAATTCTTAAATTTTGCCTGTTCCACTCGTATAAGTGACCTTGATTATCTTGCCTCATTATAAATTTTGTCCTTTTATTTTTGTGCACCCCAGAACCGCTTTTTATCTGGGGTGATAAACTAAGTGATAATTATGTAAGTGTTTCTTAGTATTACATGTATTACAGGATACAAATAATGTATATATCATGAGTAGTCAAGGTCGTTAAAGGAGACTTGACACGATTTTTTTTAATTTTTTTTTTTTTTATTAAATTAATAAATATTAGTCTTAAAACATGTTTTGTACAATTTTGCTGGTCAAAACCTGGTAAATCAGCATTTTTCTGGTCAAAGAATCAAGCGCTTGTCATTAAAAATGGGGTTTTCTCATTATTGGAGGCCCTACGGTAAACAACACTTTCTTCATTTATTATAAAGTTTCCATTTTAAAATGAATGTTTTTCATCATCTGAATCTTTACCAACTAAATAGTTGTCAATAATTATATTCGATGTTCAATATAATAAAATTGAGAATGGAAATAGGGAATGTGTCAGAAAAAGAATGTAAAAGACATGATTCACATTCTTGTATCATTTCCTTGTTTGCTTTTTATGCTTTATGTCGAACAATTTCTTACAAAGTTATAGACTTGCAAGCTTACAAGAATATTACTTTTCCATCTCAAGAAGTCAATTAAAAAATGCATCTGTTATAAACCTTTTTATATCTGCATATTCTTGAAAGCAATAAAAATAAGATCTATATACAGGTTGTCTATTAGTTATCAACACGGGTTAGGGTATTTAACTGGTGGTGCATAGGGTATTGTATGGTCGTACTACAGGTATTCATTAAACATATATGATCAGGTAGTTGTACCTGTTTTCTGTACACAACAATAATATATTCCAATCTCACCTGTGCCCTCGGCAAAACCAACATTCAGGATGTACACAAAGAGGTTTTGAAGTAATATTGCGTAATCAATATATGTCTTTATCAATCCCCCATGTGGAGTGACACTTGAAGCTTCAAACGAGACCCGAAATTGCGAAACTCAATCATCTGTACCGTACACCTGTGACCTATGATGAACTCATGGCATGGCACCCGAGACCCCAACTCTGGAATCCTAATGAAAGTGGCGAAAAGAAGTGTAGTTTCGGCTTGTTTAAAAGTCCCATCTTTACACCTTCTAAGTCTGCGTGTCATTCAAAAAAACAGAAAATATCATGTCAATATTCTTTTTAATTACATTGTTGAATCCATCGGCATCACACATAATCATTGTTTATCACTGTCATGCGTTTTGTTGGATAATAATCGAAACTAAATTTGTGCTGTACCCTTATGTCAATATGAATGAATGTAACCACTGACGTAGTAGCCTCATTCTGAGTGACTCCCGGGATGGAAATATGCATATTTGACAGGTCGATAAATCGTTGCATTAAAATCTCATTAAAATATATATTTTCCTAAATAGTTGACACTTATATTGCTATCGATGTATTTTTGGGGAAAGTTAAGTATAAATAAACATTTTGAAACACAAATTGAAAATCGTGTCATGTCTCCTTTAAACACCACATAGTAGTATGTATATATCTTTACACAATAAGGTTGATTACAAAAATTGTTGTCATTTGTTTGTATGAACTTGATTCAAATATTCTCTGTGGAACAAAATATTTTTTTTATAAAAAAGACACTTTTCTTGCAGCCTACATGGAACACATTGAAACAAGAACTGATCTCCACTTTGATGCCAATATTCCTCGGAAATCATCCAAATTCAGCTGTTGTACTGCATTATGCATGGCATTGTCAGGTAATCTCTAAGTGTTTTATTTTAAAGTTAGTAATATATAGATGGAGATAGATCATAAACTAATGCAAACTACATGAATTTCTACATCTGAAGTTTTTCAAGAAAAAAATGAAGTTAGCTATTTGTTATATATTCTATGCTTAATGTTATCTATAGTCTATAGAATGACATATATTCTGTGTTGAAGGCTTTGTTTGTCAAATTGCATTAGCTTTAGTACAATTACAAAATTTTATGAACTGAAAATTTGAAGGTTAAATTGCAAGCTGTGCTTATATCTTTTTAGAAATAACTGCTGAAAATGTAAAATGCTCTTTAATTAAGGCATTTTGATTGTCAACTTTTATATGAGACATTTACTCCCAAAATAAAATATTTTAAATCATTGTTACATACCAAGAGATCAAGATATTAAATTGAAAGACAGACAATTGGGAAATTTATGTGTGCATTATTATTGTGACAGTTGAAAAATGAACGAAAATGCAAGATTAATTATTTCAGTAAATGCTACATACAAATAATGCTATCAAAATTTAAGATGGAAGTTCTAATTTTTGTGAAACCTCTTCTGTTACAATTTTTGCAACAATAAAGAAATATTGCAAAAATTTCTGAATTTACAGTAACTGATTGTATTTACAGCTGTTATCATAATGCTAGCAAGTTAAAGGTTTGGTTGGCTTGCTTGCTTTGTTTGTGTTAATGTTTGTTCAATCATTGTAATTAAGATTGACATCTGAAAACAATATATAAAGGCAGAGTTAAACTTGTATACATTATACTTAAATTTGATTGGACACTATTAAATAATCAAATTTACCTATATACAGGTTTAACTCTGCCTACTTATATTGTTTGCAGATGTCAATCTTAATTACAATGCTTGAGCAAACATTAGTACAAAGAAAGCAAGCAAGGCAACCAATCCAACTAAACTTAAACTCTGCATGCATTAGGAATTCAACTGTATGTAGAAGAACATATGCACTTTTGTTTTACCTACTTTTTCTTATCAATGATGACTGCATTTTTGTGATGGTAAAGTAAAGGACTGATTTTGTTTTTGCTATAGGGTCATTCCAATACAATTCGTACCCTTATCATGCACTCTATGGCTGAATGGTACATGAGGGGAGAGCAACATGACCAGAACAGATTATCTCGAATTCTGGATTGTGCTCAGGACTTGAAGGTAATATAACTACACTGAATTTTTTCACATTGACAGTCTGTTTTTTTATGCCCCCACCGTAGTGGAGGGGGCATTAAGTTTTACCCTTGTCCATCTGTACGTACGTACATCCGTCCGTACGTCCCAAAATTGGTTTCCGTTCTCTAACTTGAGTTTGCCTCAACCAAATGTTATGAAACTTATACACAATGCTAATTACCACAAAACACAGATCAAGTTTTAATTTTGGTGGTGTCACTTTAACCGTTCTAGAGTTATGCCCCTTTATAAATGGAAAAATTGCAAAATTTTTAGTTTCCGTTTTCTTACTTAAGGTTGCCTCAACAAAATGTTATGAAACTTATACACAATGCTCATTACCACAAAACACAGATCAAGTATGAATTTTGGTGGCGTCACTTTAGAGTTATGCCCCTTTATAAATAAAAAAATTGCAAAAATTTTTATTTTCTTCTTAATATCAAGTAATTCTTAAAATTGGAGTTATCTTCCTTTGTCCATGATTATAGTTGAATCAACTACAATCAATTCTTTATACAATGCAATGTTTAATTTTGACTTCCACTGATAAAACACAGATCAAGTTGAATTTGGGTAGAGTCACTTTAACCATTTTTGAGTTATGCCCCTTTATAAATCGAAAGATTGCCAAATTTTTAGTTTCCATTCTGTAACTTAAGTTTGCCCAAACCAAACATTATGAAACCTATACACAATATTCATTACCACAAAACTATGATCAAGTACAAATTTTTTGTTTCCGTTTTCTAACTTTAGTTTGCTTCAACCAAATGTTATGAAACTTATACACAATGCTTATTACTACATAATACAGATTAAGTACAAAATTTGGTGGCAACACTTTTACCATTCTTGAGTTATGTCCCTTTATAAACATAAAAATTGCTGAATTTTTTAGTTTGTCTCAACCAAATGTTATAAAACTTATACATAACCCTTCTAGAGTTATGCGTGTTTACAAATAGAAAAATTGCTAAATTTTTAGTTTCTGTTCTCTACCTAAGTTAGCCTCAACCAAATGTTATGAGACTTACACACAATGCTTATTACCACAAAACTCATATCAAGTACACACAATGCTTATTACCACATAACTCAGATCAAGTTCAAATTTGGGTAGTGTCACTTTTACCGTTCTTCAGTTATGTCCCTTTATAACTATATGATATGCAAGCGGGGGCATCATCTGTGTCCACATGTGGACACTATCCACATTTTTTTTTTTTTACTTTAGGAAGAAATTTTAAAAGATTTTAATAAAATTGTAATTTCATGTTGTGAACCAATCTATTATTGGGAATTGATTTGAATAAATAGTTTAAGAGTGTTTTCTTTTTCTTTTTTTGTTTGTTTGCATAATTGATAATTTGATATACTTGAGAAACAAATTTTAAGATACTTTTGCATGGAAACTTTAACTTTCATATTGTGTTATTTTAGGATGCTAAATAATTTGTTCAAAATTTGTTTTCAGGCATTATCAATGTTGTTAAATGCCACACCATTTGCCTTTGTGATAGACCTAGCTTGTCTTGCCTCCCGTAGGGAGTACCTCAAGTTAGACAAGTGGTTATCAGATAAAATCAGAGAACATGGGGTGAGTATACAGATGTTTTAGCTGATATTTATAGTCTATTTTTCAAGAGGACAGACTAAGTAATGTGTGTGTGTAAACAACAGTTGCACTTAATTAATATTTAATTAAGCTAAGAACCGTGTTGTAGATATTCTATACTAGTTTTAAAAAACTTTGTGTAAATTGCATGTAAAGGCAAAACTTCATTACATTGAAACATTATGGTTTGACGGTTTTTATAAGAAAAATATTTTAGTTATTACAAATTTTCAAAATAACATTCAACTTTATCACATTGGTCATGGAGAACAACAGATTTATAAAAAAGATATTCTTTCTATAATTACCAATAATTTATTTTGGTGTGTTTGACCTTTCAGTAAATAAAATGAAAACATGTTCTTTTGGATTCATTTATTTTCATGGATACCCATTAATTGATTGAGGAAAAATTGTGTTTTCGTGGATACTTAATTTTGTGATTTGACAAATTCTACATTTAAGCCTTTAGCAAATTAGTATTTTGTTGAACAGGAACTTTTACCCACAAACTCCATGAAAAATAGTTCCCCAGGACTCATAATAAATTCACAGTAGATAAATTGGGTTACATTTTTGTGTGAGACGGATATATAAATGTTTTCAGACTTTTTCTTTATTGTTTGCAAGATCCTAAACTTAATGCTAAAAAAAAATTATTTCAGGAACCATTTATACAGACTTCTGTAAACTTTCTGAAAAGAAGATGTCCCCAGTTGATGGGTGGACCACCAAAGGATGACCAACAACAGATCAAAAGTCAAATGCTACCTCCAGATACTATAGGGACAATGTTGGCTTGTCTGCAGCAGTGTGCTAGGTAAAACTTTAAGATATATGTTTAATTGTGAACCCATGACTGTGATTGAAACGGTTTTGTTATGTACACACAAATAATAAAAGTATGCTTTATCCCCAAGTTTTTAATTTTTCCTTACAGTTGTGATATCTTTGGGTTCTTCCGAGGCAATGTATTCTTTTTGGAAAATATCTAGTTTTTAGATGCTTGTATAACTAATAAGAGAACATACAGGTCTATTTTTCTATAAAAAAAATTATGTATTATACATTCTCTATTGAAAAATATTTTCATTTGTAAAAGTGTTATTTTATATGTCAGCAGCAAATATTCTTAACATAACTTTACTGCAAAATTTTGCATAACTTAAGAAACAGTTGCTTACTGCAAAATTTAGCATATCTTTAGAAACAGCTGATTACTGCAAAATTTAGTATAACTTTAGAAAACATCTGAAATTTAGAAATAAGTGTGACTTTTGTAACTTATAACAAAGGGTGAAAATTCTTATAGTTGCTAGTTGTCTTCAACTACAAAGAAGAATGGCATGAATTTTTCTTACAAAACAATAATGTATTCCCTTGAGCAGATCTTATATAAAATGTTTATCTATGATCCCATTTAGTCAATGAAGTGAGAAAACATCTTGAACTGATCATATGTATGCTTATTGATCTGCAAGAAGGAGCACCTTGGAAGTCAGTTATACAAACATACATTTTAATGTGCATGTTCTTTCCTTTTCAGTCAAGTATCACAAGAGCTGTCAGAAGCCATATTAACAATGGTTGCCAATGCCAATATTTTGATGAATAAGACTAGACCAGTTGGCCCTGCTGGAATGGGACCAAAGCCTACTATACCAAATATTGGCCCAACATTAGGAAATCCTGTGAGTTATTTAATACATGTAATAGTTTTGATGACTTTCAAGTTCAAATTTAAAATATAGCATTCTTCATTCTTTTTCAGCATGTTCAGTAAAATGTCTTTCAGTTGGATCAATTCCACTATATGTAGTTAAAAGTATTTTAAAAGATATGTTTAGTTGTGAACCCATGCGACTGATTGAAATGAATTGTTTATGTACACACAAAGAGTTTTAAGTGTTATAAAACACAAATGTTTATGTTGTATTGGATGCAAGTAATAAAAGGTCATTTCTAAATGTGAATATATAAACATTTTGACTCTTTCAGCTGGATTCATTAGAGAATTCAAACCCTTTAGGAATCCCAAAATCTTGGGGCATGAGTGGTGGAGGTTTCCCACAGACTTTGGCTTCCAGTGGAACAGGATTTCCACCAAGTTTGTCTTCAAGTGGAACTGGATTTCCACCAAGTTTAACTTCTAGTGGAACAGGATTTCCACCAAGTTTATCTACTAGTGGAACAGGATTTCCACAGCCTTTATCCAGCAGTGGTGCAGGATTTCCACAAAGTCTGTCCACCAGTGGCTCTGGATTTCCCCAAAGTCTATCAACCAGTGGCTCAGGATTTCCACAAAGTTTATCTACAAGTGGCTCAGGATTTCCACAAAGTCTATCCAGCAGTAACTCTGGATTTCCACAAAGTCTATCCAGCAGTGGCTCAGGATTTCCCCAAAGTCTATCAACCAGTGGCTCAGGATTTCCACAAAGTCTATCAACCAGTGGCTCAGGATTTCCTCAAAGTTTATCTACAAGTGGCTCAGGATTTCCACAAAGTTTGTCCACTAGTGGCACAGGATTTCCACAAACTTTGTCTAGTAGCAGTGGAGCAGGATTTCCACAGAGCCTGGCATCCCTTACAACATCAACCACACCTGGTTCCCCAGCTAAGGGATTTCCTCCTACCAGTGCTGCTAGCTTTGGTGCAATACAATCTTTAACATCACAGCTTCAAAGTGAGTTATGTTTATAAAAATAGGTTATAAAAGACTAAAATGACGAAATGTGTATTCATCTACATAATAGAAACTTAAACAAGAGTAGAAAATGAATATCAGTTGAAATTATACTAAAAAAATGGAAGTATCTTTCCATTCTGTGAATTATGCTAGGGTACTTATGAATAATTCATTTTATCCTGCAATCGACCTCTTAACTACAAATAAAGGTTGATAAAATGAAGCGATAAATGTATAGTGTGCATTTATAGTCTCCTGGTATCTTGCATCTGTTGCGAGGGAACAGTTATGTTCAAATTACTGTTCAATTTTGGGTCCTCATTGCTGTCCAGGTTTTTGTCATGTTGATTTCATTCATAAACAAAATCGACAATTTCTCTGGAAAAAAACTAAATGTTTAAGTTCAATGTTAAATTGCGAGATAAAAACAAGACTCATACAGTGAAGGAAAATAGAAAATTTATTTGTACTCTCGAACAAACAGGAGAAAAGCTCGGACAGCCTTTGTTTTTCTCTCTGTTTCAAAAGCTTGTCAAATAAATTTTATATTTTCCTACACTACCAATATTGTATATATATATATGACAAGTCTTCTCATCAAAGAAAATATATTTCAGATATATCCATGAACAACCCTATAGGAGCCCCTAGGAGCTCTGTGAACTCATTAGGTGCCATAATGGCTGGAGCTGGAATAAAACCAACACAGCAACAGCAGCCACAAACACCACAGCCAACACAGCTTCCAGGTCAACAACCACAACAGCCACCTATTAGACCAGGTAGGTTAACACTATTTCTGTTAAATTCTAATTTCTTACATAAAAAAAAAACTATCTGGAAAGATTTTATGATCAAATCAAGCAGTTGTATCAACATTTTTGGCGTATGTATTGTTGTCCTGGACTAAGTATTTTGAAGCCCCTGATGATAAGATTATCTGATTAATTTCAGATTTTAAAGCTGCTTGTCTGTTAACAGAACCAATAAATCTGTTCATTACTGACTGTCTACACAGGGAGGACTGAACTCTCTACCAAATCTTTAGATTTAAATCAAGTCAGCATTACTTTTCAAGTTCGAAAAAAAAATGACAAAACAGTATCCATTTAGTTTACAAGAAAAAGTAAATTTTGACAATTGTCATCTCCAAAATCAAATGTTTAAGTTTTAGAATTACATTTCCATTTGCAAAATAACTAAAATATAAACTCAGGAAACAGCCAGAAAAAAATTAAAGAATATTGAGTACATTATTATACGACCGCAAAAAATTTTTTGTGGTCGTATATTGGTATGACGTTGGCGTCGTCGTCGTCGTCTTCGTCTGGCGTCGTCCGAAGACACATTGGTTTTCGCACTCTAACTTTAGTTTAAGTGAATGGATCTCTATGAAATTTTACCACAAGGTTCAATACCACAAAAGGAAGGATGGGATTGATTTTGGGGGTTATGGTACCAACAGTAAAGGAATTAGGGGCCAAAAATAAGCATTTTTATACGCCCGTTTACGGGACGTATTATGGTATACCTCTGTCCGTCCGTCTGTCCGTCGTCAACATGTCGGACATTAACTGAAAAATGCTTTCACCAATTTGAATAAAACTTTGGTGAATTGTTCATATTTATTGACGTGAGCTCCCTTTCGTTTTTTATAAAATTCAGATTTTACCTTTTCGATTTATGGGGTTTTATTCATTAAAAAAAGGGGGATTTTCCAGTTTTCGGACAATAAGTCAAGAATGCTTTCACCAACTTGCAAGAAATTGTGGTGAATTGTTTATATCTATTGACATGAGCTCCCTTTCGATTTTTATAAATTTTAGATTTTACGTTTCCGAGTTACAGGGTTTTATTCATAAAAAAAGGGGGGATTTTCCAGTTTTCGGACAAAAACTCAAAAATGCTTACAGCAATTCTTATGAAACTTTGGTGAATTGTTTGTATGTATTGATGTAAGCTCCCTTTAGAATTTTATAAATTTTACATTTTACATTTCTGAGTTATGGGGTTTTATTCATTAAAAAAAGGGGTGATTTTCCAGTTTTCAGACAATAACTCAAAAATGCTGTCACCAATTCTCATGAAACTTTGGTGAATTGTTTATATCTATTGATGTAAGCTCCCTTTTTATTTTCATACATTTCTTATATGACATTGAGAATTAATTGAACTTTATTTGTTTATAGTCTGACAACAGATATACTTAGTATTGCACAACAGCAAGAAATCTTTAATTGAATATAAATTCAATTCATATGACCAATTTCAAGTTTTTTGACTACATTTATTCAGAAACCTATAATATGTCAAATATTTAATTACAATCCAAATTCAGACCTGAATCAAGCTTGAATATTGTGTCCATTTTTGCCCCAACTGTTCAGGGTTGGACCTCTGCGGGCGTATCTAGCTGCGCTCAGCGAAGCAGTTTATTGTAACTTCCAGACATAACTTGTGTGTTAGTGTATGGATCTCTCTGACATTGTACCACAAGGTTCCATATCACAAAAGGAATGCTGGGATTGATTTTGGGGGTAATTGCCTCAAAATTTTAGGAATTAGGGGCCAAAAAAGGGGCAAAAAACAAGCATTTTTTTAGTTTCATGACAATAACTTGTGTGTAAGTGTATGGATCTTTCTGAAATTGTACTACAAGGTTCCATATCACAAAGGGAAAGCTGGGTTTGAGTTTGGGGGTAATTGCCCTAAACGTTTAGGAATTTGGGGCCAAAAAACACATTTTTCTAGTTTCCAGACAATAACTTGTCTTCAAGTGTATGGATCTCTCTGAAATTGTACCATACCACAAAGGGAAGGCTGGGATTGAGTTTGGGGGTGATGAATCATAAGGGGGTTCAAAAAATTTTGGGGGGGGGGATTTTTTTTTTTTTTCCTTTTTTTTCTTTTTTTCCTTTTTTTTTTCTTTTAAAATTTTCCATTTTAAGTTGGTTATTTCTGATTTATATTTAAAAGCAAATAATAATGATATGGTAGGAGATACACACCAAACAGGATGTGTAAATAATTATATAATAAGTATTGTGCAATAGCAAGAAATTTTCAATTGCACAGTATTGCACAATAGCAAGAAATCTTCAATTGCACAGAACTGGCCGCCACGAAATAGCCCAAAAGCGGTGCTTAAAAGTGGCGTTAAAACACCAAAAATCAAAAATCAAATCAATTGCACAGTATTGCGCAATAGCAAGAAATCTTCAATTGCACAGTATTGCGCAATAACAAGAAATATCCAATAGCACAATATTGCGCAATAGCAAGAAACTGTCAATTGTACAGTATTGCACAATAGCAAGAAATATTCAATTGTACAGTATTGTGCAAGAGAAGATACTTCGTATAAATTACTTATTTCTTGACCAATTTCAATGGGGTTTTATTCTTGAATTCTTGGGGTTTTTTAATATGCTGAATCATACCGTGTATTCAGTTTTTATACGACCGCAAAAATTAAAAATTTTTTGGTCGTATATTGGTATGACGTTGGCGTCGTCGTCGTCGTCGTCGTCGTCGTCGTCGTCGTTGTCGTCGTCGTCGTCGGCGTCGTCCGAAGACACATTGGTTTTCGCACTCTAACTTTAGTTTAAGTGAATGGATCTCCATGAAATTTCACCATAAGGTTCAATACCACAAAAGGAAGGTTGGGATTGATTTTGGGGGTTATGGTACCAACAGTTAAGGAATTAGGGGCCAAAAAGGGGCCAAAAATAAGCATTTTTGTAACTTTCAGACAATAACTTGTGTGTAAGTGTATGGATCTCTCTGACATTGTACCACAAGGTTCCATATCACAAAGGGAAGGCTGTAATTGATTTTGGGGGTAATTGCCTCAAAATTTTAGGAATTAGGGGCCAAAAAAGGGGCAAAAAACAAGCATTTTTCTAGTTTCATGACAATAACTTGTGTGTAAGTGTTTGGATATTTCTGAAATTGTACTACAAGGTTCCATATCACAAAGGGAAAGCTGGAATTGAGTTTGGGGGTAATTGCCTCAAAATTTTAGGAATTGGGGGCCAAAAAGGGGCCAAAAATAAGCATTTTTCTAGTTTCCAGACAATAACTTGTGTTCAAGTGTATGGATCTCTCTGAAATTGTACTGCAAGGTACCATACCACAAAGGGAAGGCTGGGATTGAGTTTGGGGGTGATGAATCATAAGGGGGTTCAAAAAATTGGGGGGGGGGGGATTTTTTTTTTTTTTTTTTTTCTTTTTTTCCTTTTTTTTTTCTTTTAAAATTTTCCATTTTAAGTTGGTTATTTCTGATTTATATTTAAAAGCAAATGATAATGATATGGTAGGAGATACACACCAAACAGGATGTGTAAATTATTATATAATAAGTATTGTGCAATAGCAAGAAATTTTCAATTGCACAGTATTGCACAATAGCAAGAAATCTTCAATTGCACAGTATTGCGCAATAGCAAGAAATCTTCAATTTAACAGTATTGCGCAATAGCAAGAAATATCCAATAGCACAATATTGCGCAATAGCAAGAAATTGTCAATTGTACAGTATTGCGCAATAGCAAGAAATATTCAATTGCACAGTATTGTGCAAAAGAAGATACTTCGTATGAATTGCTTATTTCTTGATCAATTTCAATGGGGTTTTATTCTTGAATTCTTGGGGTTCTTTAATATGCTGAATCTAACCGTGTATTAAGTTTTTGGATTTTGGGCCCCGTTTTTAAATTGGTCCACATTGAGGTCCAAAGGGTCCAAAATTAAACTTTGTTTGATTTCATCAAAAATTAAATTATTGGGGTTCTTTGATATGCCGAATCTAACCGTGTATTTAGATTTTTAATTTTGGGTCCCGTTTTTTAAATTTGTCTACATTAAGGTCCAAAGGGTCCAAAATTAAACTTAGTTTGATTTTAACAAAAATTGAATTCTTAGGGTTCTTTGATATGCTGAATCTAAACATGTGTTTAGATTTTTGATTATGGGCCCAGTTTTCAAGTTGGTCCAAGTTGGGGTCCAAAATTAAACTTTGTTTGATTTCAACAAAAATTGAATATATGGGGTTCTTTGATATGCTGAATCTAAACATGTATTTAGATTTTAGATTTTTGGCCCAGTTTTCAAGTTGGTCCAAATTGGGGTCCAAAATTAAACTTTGTTTGATTTCAACAAAAATTGAATATATTGGGTTCTTTGATATGCTGAATCTTACCATGTATTTAGATTTTTTATTTGTGGGCCCGCTATCAAATTGGTTCATATTGAGGTCAAAAGGGTCCAAAATTAAACTTTGTTTGATTTCATCAAAAATTGAATTATTGGGGTTCTTTGATATGCCAAATCTAACTGTGTTTTTAGATTTTTAATTTAGGTACCCGTTTTTTAAATTTGTCTACATTAAGGTCCAAAGGGTCCAAAATTAAACTTAGTTTGATTTTAACAAAAATTGAATTCTTCGGGTACTTTGATATGCTGAATCTAAACATGTGTTTAGATTTTTGATTATGGGACCAGTTTTCAAGTTTGTCCAAGTTGGGGTCCAAAATTAAACTTTGTTTGATTTCAACAAAAATTGAATATATGGGGTTCTTTGATATGCTGAATCTAACCATGTATTTTGATTTTGGACATTGGACCATAATAGGTAAATTAAAAAAATTGAAGTTCTTAGACCACATTCTTTCTGTGTCAGAAACCTATGCTGTGTCAAATATTTAATCACAATCCAAATTCAGAGCTGTATCAAGCTTGAATGTTGTGTCCATACTTGCCCCAACTGTTCAGGGTTCGACCTCTGCGGTCGTATCAAGCTGCGCCCAGCGAAGCATTTTATTGGATTTTGGGCCCCGTTTTTAAATTGGTCCACATTGAGGTCCAAAGGGTCCAAAATTAAACTTTGTTTGATTTCATCAAAAATTGAATTATTGGGGTTCTTTGATATGCCGAATCTAACCGTGTATTTAGATTCTTAATTTTTGGTTCCGTTTTCAAATTGGTCTACATTAAGGTCCAAAGGGTCCAAAATTAAACTTAGTTTGATTTTAACAAAAATTGAATTCTTAGGGTTCTTTGATATGCTGAATCTAACCATGTATTTAGATTTTTGATTATGAGCCCAGTTTTCAAGTTGGTCCAAATCGGGGTCCAAAATTAAACTTTGTTTGATTTCAACAAAAATTGAATATATGGGGTTCTTTGATATGCTGAATCTAACCATGTATTTAGATTTTTGATTTTTGGGCCCCGTTGTCAAATTTGTCCACATTGAGGTCAAAAGGGTCCAAAATTAAACTTTGTTTGATTTCATCAAAAATTGAATTCTTGGGGTTCTTTGATATGCTGAATCTAACCATGTATTTAGATTTTGGATATTGGACCATAATAGGTGAATGTCCAATTTAAAATTTTTAAGTTCTTAGACCACATTCATTCTGTGTCAGAAACCTATGCTGTGTCAAATATTTAATCACAATCCAAATGCAAAGCTGTATCAAGCTTGAATGTTGTGTCCATACTTGCCCAAACTGTTCAGGGTTCGACCTCTGCGGTCGTATCAAGCTGCGCCCTGCGGAGCATTTTATTATTGTTTGAAGTGATAATTATTTTCATGTTTATAGTATTTATTTTGTGATTGTTCACATGTTTATATATTTGCACAAATAGTGTGGGTAGTTATTTAAAAACTATGTACATTAAATAAAAGGAACTAGTCCATCATGATTTTGTTCTACAGAAAAAATATTGCAAAGGTTTTTTGTATAATGATCCTCAATATCTGTGCAAATATATGATCAGTCACAAAATAAATTATCAAATTTTAAAATAAAACATGTAAAGCAAAGATTATATTTTTTGCAAGCATATGAAAATATTTTTTTTTACTTCACAGCACCATCTGGTGACATGACAAATATATTTGCTGACATATCCCAGCAGTTTTCTACAGAAGTAGAAGATGAAGCAAATTCTTACTTCCAGAGGATTTATAACCAGCCTCCGCATCCTACGATGTCTATAGATGAAGTCCTGGACATGCTGAAAAGATTTAAAGACTCCCCTAACAGGAGAGAAAAGGTTAGCCAGTTTATCTGATAAACTATCAACATAGAATCCATGCTTATATTTTAACTGAGCATTTCCTTAAATGCAAAAAAAGTACGAGAGAAAAAAATGCTTTGTTTCTGTAGATGTCGCTTGAAATACCTGTTTTTTTCATTACTTCACTTATTTTAGTTATACGCAATTTTCATTTTGCATTCCCTTTTTTGTGTGATTAGGTTATGTAATAACATGTATACATATGCTTTCAGGACGTGTATGAATGCATGCTGAGAAATTTGTTTGAAGAATACAGATTTTTCCCACAGTACCCTGAACGAGAATTATTAACTACTGCATACCTTTTTGGGGGTATAATTGAAAAGGGGCTTGCAACGTAAGTTTGAAAATAAATAAGATAATTTTTATGCCCACCTACGATAGTAGTAGGGGCATTATGTTTTCTGGTCTGTGCATCTGTTCATTCGTCCGTCAGTTCGTCTGTTTGTCCATCTGTCCCGCTTCAGGTTAAAGTTTTTGGTCAATAGTTTTTAATGAAGTTGAAGTCCAATCAACTTGAAACTTAGTACACATGTTCCCTATGATATGATGTTTTTAATTTTAATGCCAGATTAGTTTTGACCCCAATTTCACTGTCCACTGAACATAGAAAATGATAGTGCGAGTGGGGCATCTGTGTACTAGGGACACATTCTTGTTTCTTCATGCAATAGAGTTAGCGTAAAGTTGAACTCAGAAATAAAAGAGTATTTAATTTTAAAAAAAAAAGAATAATCAAAATTTAATTTAAATGTTGATTTTAATAGCGAAAAAATACTGACAAATATTTTTTAGTTTGAAAAAACCCACAAAAATTCAGAAAACACTACTTGTACAGAAATATTTATATTTCAATCGGTATGTTCAAAATTGGTAGTGTATAATTTCATCCCATAAAAGTGAGTAATAAATTTCAGAATAATGGAAAATAAAAAATAATGAGTGTTCTTATATCTATCCATATGATTTTGATGACCTCATTCTATTTTATCAGATTTTATGTAGAATCTTACCCAGATCAATCATTTCTTACAGGTATATGGCTTTAGGCATTGCATTGCGATATGTTTTAGAAGCTTTGAAGAAACCACACAACACAAAGATGTACATATTTGGTATTGCTGCTTTAGACAGATTTAAAACCCGGTAAAACAATTTTGTTTATAGAATATACTTGTTTTGTTTAAAGTAATGCCTTTTAGTAGCATTGAAATCATACATGGATTCAGACGGGGGAGCATCCTTTGCCCGTACCCAGGACAGACACAACTGACAAGTAAGGTTTTTGTCACGCCTGTGATGAAAGATGTAGATGTTGCTTTTCCGGCAGCAACTGCGTCAACAATTTTTATAAGACCACATCATATAATGGTTTTGCGTGGTCCAAAGACATTTGGTTTCCAGACAATAACTTGAGAAAAAGTATATGAAAACTCTATGAAATTGTACTACAAGGTTCCATACCACAAAAGGAAGGTTGGGATTGATTTTGGGGGTTATTGTCCTAACTGTTTGAATACGAATTAGTGGCCAAAAACAAGCATTTTTCTTGTTTCAGGACAATAACGTGTAAAAGTATATAGATCTCTATGAAATTGTACCACAAGGTTCCATACCTCAAAAGGAAGGTTGGGATTGATTTTGGGGGTTATGGCCCAAACCGTTTAGGAATTAAGGACCAAAAAGGGACAACAAAACAAGGATTTTCTGGGTTACGGACAATAACTTGAGTATAAGTCTTTACAAGGTTCCATATAAAAAAAGCAAGGTTGGGATTGATTTTTTTGTGTGTAGGGGGGGGGAGGGTGTTAAGGTCCTAACCATTTAGCAAAAAGGGGCCAAAAACAATACTTTTCTAATACTTTGTTTAAATTGCTTATTTCTTGACTAATTTCAATGTGTTTAATTCAAAGTCTTGAATTCTTGGGGTTCTTTAATATGGGCCCTATTTTTAATTTTCAACATATGCATTTTTCTTATCAAATTAGATACAGGCAAGAAATATTTCTGTGTCAACAGTTTATTAATTGTTTACACAAAAGTTCAAAACCTTTGAAAATAGTCAGTTGTTAGCCATTAAAGTAGTCAAGAATGAAAATATTTTGTTTACATAATATGATTCTTAATGTAAGAAAATATGTGATCTTTATCGTACAATACCGGTAATTTGTAAATAAATGTACAATATTTATATTTCTTAGGTTAAAGGATTATCCTCAATATTGTCAACATTTGGCAGCTATACCTCATTTTAGTCAGTTTCCTAATCATCTCATAGAGGTAAGGCATTATTTCTCTGTCAATATGCAATGTAAATTAGAGGATGATATTACAGGCAATCATTATATAATATGAGTCAACATTTTCCAGTAATTTTATTTGTATTGAATCCTGCACTCATTGCAAAAGAGAGGCAAAAGATACCAAAGGGACATTCAAACTCACAAGTCGAAAATAAACTGAAAACGCCATGGCTAAAAAGGAAAAAGACAAACAGTACACAAAACACAACATAGAAAACTAAAGACTGAGCAACACGAACCCCACCAAAAACTCCGGGTGATCTCATGTGCTCCGTGGGGGCAACCTATTTTATTATTGTAACAATATACATGCTGCCTACACATAGATTGCCAAAAGATTCAGAATATAATAACAAATCTACAGTACCTCTTAAGTTTATCTTTGTTCTGTTCCAGTTTGTCGAATATGGTGCTAGATCTCAAGAACCACCTCCGCATACAACATCATCTAGAAGTTTAACTCCAACGGTGCCAGGCATTTCTAATGCCCTCACAGCAGGACTGACCAATAACCTTGGTATAACGTCAGGCACTGTAACACCGACTACAACACTGGAAAGTATGGTGGCCACTACAACAACTTTGACAACTTCTGTAACAACAACAGCAACCACAACAACATCAAAACCAGCTGCAGCTCTTCCAAAAGTAAGTTTCTTATTATATTTACACGTTAACATTATTTTCTATCTATATTAAGTTTTTATGCCCCCTCCGTGGCGGAGGGGGCATTAAGTTTTACCCTTGTCCATCTGTACGTACGTATGTACGTCATAAAATTGGTTTCCGTTCTCTAACTTTAGTTTGCCTCAAGCAAATGTTATGAAACTTATACACAATGCTTATTATCACAAAACACAGATCAAGTTTGAATTTTGGTGGCGTCACTTTTACCGTTCATATGCCACTCTACAAATGAAAAAATTGCCGAATTTTTCGTTTCCGTTCTCTAATTTTAGTTTGCCTCAACCAAATGTTATGAAACTTATACACAATGCTTATTACCACAAAACACAGATCAAGTTTGAATCAAGTTTGAATTTTGGTGGCGTCACTTTAACTGTTCTAGAGTTATGCCTCTTTATAAATGGAAAAATTGCAAAACTTTAATTTCTTCTAAATAAGTAATTTTTATTAAAATTGGAGTTATCTTCCTTTGTCCATGATTATAATTGAATCAACTACATTCAATGCTTTATACAATGCAATGTTTAATTTTGACTTCCACTGATAAAACACAGATCAAGTTGAATTTGGGTAGTGTCACTTTAACCATTATTGAGTTATGCCCTTTATAACTCGAAAGATTGTAAAATTTTTAGTTTTCATTCTGTAACTTAAGTTTGCCCCAACCAAACATTATGAAACCTATACACAATATTCATTACCACAAAACTAAGGTCAAGTACAAATTTTTTGTTTCCGTTTTCTAACTTTAGTGCCTCAACCAAATGATATGAAACTTATACACACTGCTTATTACTACATAATACAGATTAAGTACGAAATTTGGTGGCAACACTTTTACCATTCTTGAGTTGTGTCCCTTTATAAACATAAAAATTGCTGAATTTTTCATTTCCGTTCTCTAACTTTAGTTTGTCTCAACCAAATGTTATAAAACTTATACACAATCGTTCTAGAGTTATGCGTGTTTACAAATAGAAAAATTGCTGAATTTTAAGTTTCTGTTCACTACTTAAGTTAGCCTCAACCAAATGTTATGAGACTTACACACAATGCTTATTACCACAAAACTCAGATCAAGTTCAAATTTGGGTAGCGTCACTTTTACCGTTCTTCAGTTATGTCCCTTTATAACTATTATGAAATGCAAGCGGGGGCATCATCTGTGTCCACACGTGGACACTATCCACATTTTTTAAACATAAGATTCACCTCAAAAAACACACAACAAAAAGCAAAGTATCAGCTTAAAGTCGCAGAGAGGCCTTCAACACACAGCAAAAAACTCTCACCTCACTGGAAGTTTTAAGACGACCCCTAGCACGTGTTTTAACATTTTAAAATTTTTACCAGCTGTTCTTGGTTAAGTCTAGAAAGTAGTTAAAGATCAACTTAATTGTTAGAATTCAAGACGACAACATTGTTTAAAGTTACATGAATATATGCTCTAAGGTTATAGCCAGTGATATACACATATACAAATAAATGCTTTATAATGGATTTAACTGTTCAATAACCATTGTTTTTGTGTTTCAGCCATCAATAGCTAGTGCTACAAATATTGACACATTGTTAGCAGGACAATTGAAAGAAAACATACCACCACCTCCAGAATCTGTTCAGGACAAAATCTTTTTCATATTCAACAATCTCTCTTTGGCTAATATGAATCAAAAGGTCAGTAATTTTTTTCCAAAATTGCCTTTATATGTTCCACTGTTTGCCATCTTGACAGCATGTAAGAAATGAAAGTAAGATGTCCAGTTATTTTTGAGGGCATTTAATCTCATATTCCTTGTTGGAAGAGTGCCATTTCAGTTGAATTTACAAGAACTATTATACAGCAATAACTAGCAATGATAATGATGTTAATAGATTGTCTACCTTAAATACAAAGATTTTGTGTGGCTAGTAGTACTAACTATACAGCAGAAAGATCAAATCTGTTGACATTTAAGAAAATATTGTACTAACTGCAAGCTTCTTCAATTTTTGAACAGGGTGAGGAATTGAAGAAGGAAGTATCTGAGGATTATATGCCTTGGGTTGGTCAATACCTTGTCATGAAGAGGGCCAGTATTGAACCTAACTTTCACACATTGTATGCCAGTTTTGTTGATGTACTTGGAAATGGAGAATTTCAACAGCAAGTTATCAGAGAGACTTTTAGAAATATAAAGGTAAGAATGAAGATTAAAATTTATAGTTACACAAATTGACATTCTGAAATGAAGACATTTTACTAACAACATGCTGCTTGTGCTTTGAAAATTTAGCTGTACATTGATATTTACAGAATAACCAATCGAAACAGAAAAAAATATTCAAAGAGTGACCAAACAACACATTAATTCACGAATGCGCATAGCGCATGAGTTAATTACCAGTGTTGTTCTGTCACAAGTTGAATATTTTTTTCTATATGTTTTGTAATATTAATGGTGAGAAATAAATTAACTATGAGTATTGTATTGCATTGCTAGTACACTAAAGCATACTCACACAAGAAATGTAATTTTTTTAATGCAGTCTCTCATAATTTTTTTTAGACTGGCATTACTATTTTGTATTATTCTATGTATTCATGTATTATGTTATGTTTTGTGATATTAATGGAGAGACATAAATGAAGTATTTGTATTGTATTGCATTGCATTGCTAGTACACTAAAGCATATAATTTGTATTTTATTCCAGGTTTTGTTATGCAGTGATAAAGGAGATGCCAATTTTTCAGACCGGACATTATTGAAGAATTTAGGTCACTGGATAGGAATGCTGACGCTAGCAAAGAATAAACCTATTCTTCAGCTTGTAAGTATTCTTCACATTTTAACATTTTATATAAAAAAATGAAGATGTGGGGTACAAGTCAATGAAACAGCAACACAACAATGAAAATTACCAGATGACAGATTTTTATACGACCGCAAAAAAATTTTTGTGGTCGTATATTGGTATGACGTTGGCGTCGTCGTCGTCGTCGTCCTGCGTCGTCGTCCGAATACACATTGGTTTTCGCACTCTAACTTTAGTTTAAGTGAATGGATCTTTTTGAAATTTTACCATAAGGTTAAATACCACAAAAGGAAGGTTGGGATTGATTTTGGGGGTTATGGTACCAACAGTTAAGGGATTAGGGGCCAAAAATAAAGATTTTCTAGTTTCCAGACAATAACTGTGGAACAGTGTATGGATCTCTCTGAAATTATACTACAAGTTTCCATACCACAAAGGGATGGTTAGGATTTGCTTTGGGGGGTTATGGCTCAAACCGTTTGGGAATTAGGGGCAAAAAAGGGGGAAAAACAAGGTTGTCCTGGTTAATGGACAAATACTTTAGTACAAAACATAATTTAAAGCAGTGTAAGGGAGATAAATCAAATACATCATTGAAATTATCTCCCTTACACTGCTTTTAAATTATGTATAAAGTAATGGTTAATGAACAATAAAGATAATTTAAAACAGTGTAAGGGAGGTAATCCAAATACAACGTTTTGGTTACTTCCCTTACACTGCTTTTAAATTATGTTTAAAGAAATGCATATTTATAAAGGAAGACCAGTAAAAATATCTGCAAATGTTGCATCATTTTATTTTACAAAAAAATCCATATGAAAGATTTGACACTATATTTTTAATTCTATTATAAAATAGATTAAGTTAGCACTATGGTAAAATTAAATAGGTAATTATGGTTGCCAACTCCATTGGAAATTTGAATTGAGATTATGACCATATCTTGAGGGAAAGAATTTTTTTGGGGAAAAAAGGGGGGGGGGGATAAAAAGAAATTGTGGGGGGTCAATTTTTTCTCATTTCAAATTTCAGAAATTAAAAAGAATTATTCTTCAAATATTATTTTTTTTTCAAATTTCAAATATTGAAAAATTTCAAGAAGTAATCTTTAATTGCACAGTATGGCGCATTAGATTTGTAAAATCTTTGATCACATTTATTTATTTGTTATGCCGAATCTAACAGTGTATTTAGATTTTTAATTTTGGGTCCAGTTTTCAAAATAGTCTACATTAAGGTCCAAAGGGTCCAAAATTAAACTTTGTTTGATTTTAGCAAAAATTGAATATATGAGGTTCTTTAATATGCTGAATCTAAACATGTATTTAGATTTTTGATTTTTGGCCCAGTTTTCAAGTTGGTCCAAATTGGGGTCCAAAATTAAACTTTGTTTGATTTCAACAAAAATTGAATATATGGGGTTCTTTGATATGCTGAATCTAACCATGTATTTAGATTTTTTATTTGTGGACCCCGTTATCAAATTGGTTCATATTGAGGTCAAAAGGGTCCAAAATTAAACTTTGTTTGATTTCATCTAAAATTGAATTATTGGGGCTCTTTGATATTCCAAATCTAACCGTGTATTTAGATTTTTAATTTTGGGTCCTGTTTTTTAAATTGGTCTACATTCAGGTCCAAAGGGTCCAAAATTAAACTTAGTTTGATTTTAACAAAAATTGAATTCTTGGAGTTCTTTGATATGCTGAATCTAAACATGTGTTTAGATTTTTGATTATGGGCCCAGTTTTCAAGTTGGTCCAAGATAGGGTCCAGTATTTAAACTTTGTTTGATTTCAACAAAAATTGAATATATGGGGTTCTTTGATATGCTGAATCTAAACATGTATTTAGATTTTTGATTATGGGCCCAGTTTTCAAGTTGGTCCAAGTTGGGGTCCAAAATTAAACTTTTTTGGATTTCAACAAGAATTGAATATATGGGGTTCTTTGATATGCTGAATCTAACCATGAATTTAGATTTTTTATTTGTGGGCCCCGCTATGAAATTGGTTCATATTGAGGTCAAAAGGGTCCAAATTAAACTTTGTTTGATTTCATCAAAAATTGAATTATTGGGGTTCTTTGATATTCCAAATCTAACCGTGTATTTAGATTTTTAATTTTAAGTCCCGTTTTTTAAATTGGTCTACATTAAGGTCCAAAGGGTCCAAAATTAAACTTAGTTTGATTTTAGCAAAAATTGATTTCTTGGGGTTCTTTGATATGCTGAATCTAAACATGTGTTTAGATTTTTGATTATGGGCCCAGTTTTCAAGTTTGTCCAAGTTGGGGTCCAAAATTAAACTTTTTTTGATTTTAACAAAAATTGAATATATGGGGTTCTTTGATATGCTGAATCTAACCATGTATTTTGATTTTGGACATTGGACCATAATAGGTAAATTACAAAAATTCAAGTTCTTAGCCCACATTCTTTCTGTGTCAGAAACCTATGCTGTGTCAAATATTTAATAACAATCCAAATTCAGAGCTGTATCAAGCTTGAATGTTGTGTCCATACTTGCCCCAACTGTTCAGGGTTCGACCTCTGCGGTCGTATCAAGCTGCGCCCCAGCGAAGCATTTTATTTTTAAGGTTATTTTTGAAAAATTGATTTAATTTGATTTTTGATTAAAGCAAAAACATGATCTTATGAGTAGAAATTTAATTCGTATTTTACAGGAGATAGATATCAAGTCCTTGCTGTATGAAGCTTACCACAAAGGGGCAAGAGAACTACTGTATGTTGTGCCATTTAGTGCTAAAATAATAGAATCATGTGCTAAAAGTAAGGTAAGAATTCGACACTTAACATGGCATAACAAAGTGTTGAACATTCATTTCTAGGAGGAAGAAACTACTGATATTTTATTTCCCTCACAAGTGGCCATAGAAATCGTTCATTCTTTCCTTTAATGGTATTAAACATTCATCTGTACTTCTTTTATCATGCCTACACATATTTTCCTAGTATTTAGTAATTAATTGTATGATGAGGAGCTACAAGTGTGTTGTTTTTTCCAGTATATTAACTCTTTATCGAAGTATGCCTCTTGTTCACATCTTACTTTCTAATAGAAGGGTAGGATATATTTAGTCAAACTCAGAAATGCTATAGATGAATGACAAGGTATTATATGTCATTCATATATACTCTACATTGTTAACAACACAAATTAATATCTAAAAGCATGCATTTGTTTTGTATTAATTGTTAACAATCTATTTCAGGTTTTTAAACCTCCAAATCCATGGACAATGGGAATAATGAATGTTTTGGCAGAGCTACATATGGAACCAGATCTGAAATTGAACCTGAAATTTGAGATAGAAGTTTTATGTAAAACTCTAAGCATTGACCTGAGTGTAAGTGTCCAGTTAAATCAAAATTATTCATACAAATATTACAGTGTTAGTGAATGAAATAATTTAGATTTTCAACTTCAATCCTTGTAGATTGTATTGTGCAATCTTCATAAATGATGTCTGGACCAATCAGAATGTTTAAAACAGCAATATTCCCCAATCTTCATAAATGATGTCTGGACCAATCAGAAAGTTTAAAACAGCAATATTGTCCAATCTTCATAAATGATGTCTAGACCAATCAGAATGTTTAAAACAGCAATAGTCCCCAATCTTCATAAATGATGTCTGGACCAATCAGAAAGGTTAAAACAGCAATATTGTCCAATCTTCATAAATGATGTCTGGACCAATCAGAATGTTTGAAACAGCAATACTCCCCAATCTTCATAAATGATGTCTGGACCAATCAGAATGTTTAAAATGGTAATATTCATCATGCATTATCATTGCTTAATGGGTCCATTATATTAACAGTGCAACATAATTATATAAAAAGTTTCATTGTAATTAGGTCAGTTGGGGTCAGTTTGTAAGCTTAGTAAAATTAGTTAGTTTATTAAGATTGATTATTAGGACTGTTCCAAAATTTATCTGGTGGTGGGGATGGGAGGCACTCAAATTAATTAAATATTTATGATTGAATTTTCCTCAGAATTTTGTAAGAATTATAAGTAAAATGTAAGTTATTATTTTATTGGTGGTATGGTTTAAAAAAAACATGCCTTCTGTGCCCATATCCATTTAATTTCGGAACAGCTCTAATAAAAGTCAATATTTTTTACCAGTGAAAGCATAGTCAATAGTAAATGTGTAATATTTTGTAATTTTTTTGCTTTTGATGAATAGGACTGTCGACCAACTATGTATCTGAAAGATGTAAGTAGAATTTCGGAAATAGAGCCCCAGTTGTCACCAGGTAGTAAGCTACCACATCCACTGCCAGACTTGACCCCACAGCCTGGGGACCAAGCAGCCATGATGACAGCTGGAACACCAACTGTTCCAACAACAGCCAGAGGCACCACACCAACAACGACGCCTAACTTACCACCACGTCCTCAATTCTCATACGATGATGTCAATACTGCTAACATGGCAACCATTGGTAATCTGTGTACTATTAACGATCAGGTAATATTATTTTATGAATGATTAAAGTTTGTGTTGAAAGATTTTTAAACTCATTTGCAACATGTCAATTTAATACTATAAAAGCCATGATCTCAATAGTCTTTATTTTTTTTTTGAATGAAAAAAAAATTCTTTCATTAATAGGTATAAGAAGATGTGGTATGAGTGCCAGTGAGACAACTCTCCATCCAAGTCAAAATTTAAAAAAGTAAACCATTATAGGTCAAAGTACGGTCTTCAACACGGAACCTTGGCTCACACCGAACAGTAAGCTATAAAGGGCCCCAAAAATTACTGGTGTAAAACCATTCAAACGGGAAAACCAACGGTCTAATCTATATAAAAAACGAGAAACACTTAAGAACCACATCAACAAACGACAACTACTGAACATCAGATTCCTGACTTAGGACAGGTGCAAACAAATGCAGCGGGTTTAAACGTTTTAATGGTACCAAACCTTCACCCTTTTTCTATAACAATAGTGTAACATCACAACATAGAAAGACACACTATAAAATATCAACCTTCCTTTGAAAAAGAGTCCTGATTACTTTTCCCTGCTTTATTGTAAGAACCAGATGGTCTAATTATTCAATAGTTTATTTATATTAGAATTGCAGAATTAACATTCGTTTTCAATTGTTACATTTCAGATTGCACTATTCCAAGCCAATCCTCAGCTGAAACAGCTGGTAAAGATTGCAGTTGAAAAATCTTTACAGGAGTTACTTCCTCCTGTTGTTGAAAGAACAATAAAGATTTCATTGGTGACCTGTGAACAAATTATCAAAAAGGTATGAATTTCTAGTTTTATTGGGTAAGATTCAGTGTGGAAAACAACATTGTGACAAAATGTAAAAAGAACAGTAATAAAAAGGGGAAACAAATTGTTTATTCATTAGTTTGATAATGGCTTTACTGAAATGTTAATAGTTCTGTAAATGGTCAGTTATTCATTTATAACACTGTAAAATACCTTAAAATTATACCAGAGTTTGTTTTGATGCATACAACATATATTTATGCAATAATTTGGTAACATTAACATACAGAGCTATGCTGAAAGTTGACATTTTTGAACTAAAAAAATTTTGGAAAACACTTTTATACGCTTAAAATCAAAATGAACTTGAACAAAACAGCAATTCTGATGAAAAAGTGAAACTAGAGCCTCGTTTATATAAACTCTTAATTTTTTCATAACATATTAATGTTTAAAGATGTGATTGTAGAAACATTTTTAATGAACCATTTATATCTGCATTATAAGTAATAAAATTTTGGTAAAAAAAAATTTCAGGATTTTGCATTGGATCCTGATGAGAGCAGAATGAGGGCAGCTGCACATCACATGGTTCGTCACATGATTTCTGGACTGGCTTTAATTACTAGCAGGGAACCAGTACTTGTTAATATCAGCAACAATTTAAAGAGTGCTTTCCTGTCAACACTAAGGGTAAGAAAACAAATAAAAAGCATAGTTTTTAGAATGAACTGAATATAACCTTGTTATGTCCTGTATAGCCTAGGACAGTAGAGGGGCATTATGTTTTCTGGTCTGTGAGTCTGTTTGTCTGACTGTCTGTCCTATATTAGGTTATGTTTTGGTTAAAGGTAAGTTAAGTTTTGGCTTAGGGCAGTTTGTGGTCACTTCAGTTTAAAACTTAGTACACATGTTTATTATGAGGTAAGCTATTTAATATGTTTGCCAAATTAGGGTTTTGACCACTGAACATGGAAAGTATTAGGTTAAAGTTTTGGTTTAGGGAAGTGTGTCACATTAACTTGAAACTCTATATACATGTTCATTATGAAGAGAAATATTTAATTTATATGTCAAATTTGAGTATTGACCTAGATTTCATGGTTCACTGAACAAGGAAATAAGATAGTATGAGTATGACATAGTTTCCTATGGACACATATTTTTGTTTTCATTTTACTTGTCTTCTGTAATGAAAAAATGCAAGACTTTCTATTTGTGTAAATTCCATTTGCAGATAACTTTTAATTTGATGTGGTGTAGCTATAAAAAAGTTTGTTTTAAACTTGTTTCCTTTAAAGGGGCACTAGCTACGAGATATATAAAAAATCTAAAATAGGATTTTTTTTGTTCAATCATTAATGAAAGTGAAATAGTGAAATAATTATTCGCTTTTAGCAGCCAGTATGGTTCAATGGAAGCTACATATTACCGAGCCCATGCCTTGTAAATTGTTTATTTTAGACTTTTAATAGTTTGGATAAAGGTTTTACATTGTTATAAATCAAATATGAGAATTTGAGTCAAATCGGTGAACATGAATTTAACAGCTAGTGCCCCTTTAAATGATATAATAGCTGAAAATGTCTGGTAATTTTATATATAGATAATGAAAAGACTGTTTATTTTTTGTAGATTGATGCAAATTTCCAAGGAGCAACTCCACAACAAAAGGAAATGATAGAACAAGCTGCACAACAAGTAGCACAGGATAATACAGAATTAGCTTGTGTCTTCATCCAGAAAACTGCCATAGAAAAAGCAATACCAGATATTGACAAAAGATTAGCTACAGTAAGTTTGACAATAGATAAGCTTAAAAATATTTCCATTTCATTATAAGCTTAAAAATATTTCCATTTCATTATCTGCTGCAAAACCCATTCATATAATACCCCTAAAAACAAAGTTGGTGGTGGGGGGTATATAGGAATCAACCTGCACATTTGTCAATGTGCCTTGTAAGGACAACTTTTCCTAAACGGCTAGATGGATATTTATGAAATTTTACACAGTTGCAGAACACTACATGAGGATATGCATAAAGGAAAGTGATCATGGTCAAAATGGAGATAACTCAGGTAATATTCTCTCAGAGGTAAACTCAGGTAATATTCTCTCAGAGGTATCCTTATGTAAGTTCATTCACAGTTCTAGTTCGCTGACTAGTTAGTTAATTCTGCTTTCGTCATCTGAATTGAAACAGGTTGATTCATATAACTTTACCACAGATTTACATGACTTCTGTCATATCAATATTGAATTCAATAGTTTATGATTTTCTTAAAAGAAAGCTCTTGTAACATGACTACCTACAAGAAAAATGGATTAGGCTGTAATTTGTGTTGATATTTCTAAAATTGTTGTTAATGTTCAGTGCTTACAACGCTTGCTAGTTTTGTAATAAATGATAATTTTGAAAGTTGAATTAAACTTGCAAGACATTGAGATACTTGTTTTTACATGCTTGATGTGCACATCACACTACTCACATGCACACATTATTAGATGTCCAGTATCGATTTTGATGAGTAAAGAAGTTGAAGTTAAGTGTTAAAGAAACATGAGGAATATTATGTAAATAAAAAGGACACCTGAAAAACATATCTTTAAGCAACATCTAAAGTCCAGAGGCAGATGAAAAAAATAATTACTGTTACTCAAATTAATAATGATGACTAAAATGTGTTCAATTGTTTACAAGATTTGTTAATACAAATACAAAAATTTTTGATTGTTCACATATAACATTACAAACATAAAATATTGTAGGAATTTGAACTTAGAAAACATGCTAGAACAGAGGGTAGACGTTACTGTGATCCTGTCGTACTGACGTATCAAGCTGAGAGAATGCCAGAACAAATCAGATTAAAGGTAAGTAACTCTTCAGGGGATTTTGTCAAAGGATAACTCTATGCATTTGATATCTTTTATGCCTTCTTGTTATTGATATGTTGAAATCCAAAGTTTTAAAACACATGGTAACCTTTTGTGATGCTAATATAACATCTGTATGGATGAGACAGGATTAAAGTTGGGTAAGAAAACACATCAACATCAATACTTCTCACCCCCATTTCATGAATTATTTTTGTTTTTATTTCTGTAATATTCATATGAAATGAACAAGATATCTAGGATAAGTGTTATAAACTGTTATTACTAGCCGTCTTTAAAGCTAAAGTAATAGATAATAGCATAAGTTAATATCAGAAGAAGTTAAACTATTTTACAAGATTTTTTGTCTCGCCTTGACAGAGTCAAAAAGCGAGACATAGGTATGCTGTTTCCGGGGGCGGTGGCGGCGGCGTCAACAATGTATTAGTTTGTAATTAGGTCTAGTTTATGGTGAACAACTAGTGGTAGATCAATGATATTTGGTATGCAGTTGTATTAGCATTGGCACATCTCATTTCCATTGAATTTGTTTGGCCCTGCCCCCTCAGTCATGGTCTATTGATTTTGAAACTTTTGCTTGGTTTACATTTATGAGTTTGTGATTAGGTCAGTTCATGGGGAACCACTAGTGGTAGGCCAATGTTAATTGGTATGCAGTTGTATAAGCATTGGCATATCTCATTTCCATGGAAATTATTTGGCTCCACCCCCTCATTCATAGTCTATTGACTTTGAAACTTTTGCATAGTTTACATGTATTAGTTTGTGATTAGGTCAGTTCAAGGGGAACCATTAGTGTTAGGCCAATGTTAATTGGTATGCAGTTGTATAAGCATTAGCACATCTCATTTCCATGGAGAATATTTGGCCCCGCCCCCTCAGTCATGGTCTATTGACTTTGAAACTTTTGCTTAGTTTACATGTATTAGTTTGTGATTAGACCAGTTTAAGATGAACTGCTAATGTTAAGTCAATGATATTTGGTATGCAAATTTATTGGCATGTGCAAGTCTTGTTTCCATGAAGATTATATAGCCCCACCCCATCATCATGGTTCATTGACTTTGAAACTTTTACATTAAGTTTATTAGTGAATGTTTGTGTTTAGGTTTGTTTAAAGGGAACGACTTATGATAAGTCAGTGGTATTTGGTATGCAGTTGTATTAGCATTGGCACATTTCATTTCCATGGAGATTGTTTAGCCATGTACCTTCAGTCATGGTTCATTGACTTTGAATATTTGCATAACTTACATGTTAAAAGTATTGCTATTTCAATTTCAACATTTGCATTATCAAAATTACAAAAAGACGAGACATATCTCTGTGTTAATAGTTTATTTATTAACAGAGAGAAGTGTATTTCCTTGTTTTCTCTTATTATAAAACTAAGAAGATGTGGTATGATTACCAAATAACGAAGAAGTTAACAAAAATTGGTCATCGTACTGCCTTCAACAATGAGCAAAACACATACTGTTTAGTAAGCTATAAAAAGAAATGACAAATGTAAAACAATTCAAATGAGAAATCCAAAAGCCTGATTTATGTACAAAACAATAAACAAAAAACAAATTTGATATACAGCAACAAACGACAAGCACTAGATTACAGACTCACTTGTAGGTTTGTTTTATTGGCTTTATGTAATGTGTGGATGAAGACTTGTTCATATAATATTTTTTTGTGACAATGTAATCATAGACCAAATAATTATTAAGAAAATATTATTCACAAAATGTTGATTACAGTCAGCAGTGTAGTGTGATGTGAGTTTGCCTTCATTGACTTAGATACCATAAACTTAACAGTACAACATTATGTATCTTTCTAAATATAGGTTGGAGGAGCCACTCCAAGTCAGTTATCTGTATATGAAGAGTTTGCCAGGAACATCCCAGGATTTCTACCAGCTGGAGATCCCTCCTTTCCTCCTGGAGCTGTACCTGCTAAACCACAGCCTGTATGTTTATCTTTTATTGTGAATTATAGTTTCCTCAATTCGCCGTTTCAAAATCTTACGCATTCTGGGAAATATTTTAAAAGCGTAAACCATTACGTTATGATTGGTTAAAAACGTCATTAACAATTGAAATTTAACCAATGACGTGACATTATTTTCATTTTGAAGTAGGATAAATGAAATTACTCATAGTCCTATGAATTCTGAAACGGTGAATTCACAAACAATGAATTTATAGCCGTACTATTTAAAACATTCAGGGCTTACCACAGCAGGAGAAGTGAGTAAGATTTTCATCCTAGGATTCTGATTTTGCCCTGAATATTCCTCCAGGTGAAGTTAAAGTTGCCTTAAATTTTCAGAAATGATGCCCTCGGTTCAGAATTTCAATGAAATAAATATATTGCGTCTTTAAAACTTGATATAAATGATCCCTTATGAATGTTTGACATATTTATTGTAGTATAAATATCCTATTCCCTTCCTTGTCACATGTCAAAGATTATTTACCTGTGTGATCAGGTTATTTTGTCAGCCACCATTTGCCAAATGAAACCTTCATGAAATTTTAAGAAAATTCAGACAGAAGCTTTTTTATGATCAAAAGACAATATTTTAAAAATTTTACTCTGTATTACTGTATTCAGAGTAAAATTTTTAATAAAATATATTTTTGTAACTTTTCCGTATTTTACTGATAAAAGACTTGGCTTTTAACAATCAACATTACGCTTTTACACTGACAGCAGCATTCAGGCTCTTGGGAACCCTTTACAAATTTTTTGATTATCCAGAAAATAGAAAATAGTTGCTATTTTGGAAAAGAAATCATTGATTATAGACAATACTATAAAAGTATTTCGAGGTCTAATGAAATAGCTTAAAATAAAACTTATTAGTGTCATATTTCTTATACTTTCATATAGGGAACATGGGGTAGATCTTCATGTGTCAACATTGCTGAGCTACAATAACATACCAAAATTCATATAGGGAACATGGGGTAGATCTGCATGTGTCAACATTGCTGACTTACAAAAACATACCAAATATCAACCAAGTAGGCTATTAGTATTAGAGATCAATGTATAATACATGTATGGGGGAAAATAAATTACCAAACAGGAATTGAACAGTTTATCAAGGAAAATATGTTATAACATCCTATTAGAGGTATTACAAAAATACTTAACTTTGAAGGGAATGGTCAAGATGGCAAAGTATGCATAATTACTGGCTACATGTATCTCGAATACTTGAGACAGCACAGATGTCACATTAAGATCTATTTAAGGAATTATATGGAGTTGATGTATCCCTGAAGTCTCCCTATTATTTCATGAGTTCTCCTTTTTGCGTACTACGAAGAAGTCTACTCCCCATCAATTTGAAGGGTGTTGACAAAGAATAAACTAGTTTCCAATTTCTGTTTAATGAATAAACTGCCCCTGTTGACCTGGGGTTATTAGGTGGGAAAAGTGTCATAGTACACTAGACACTGATTGTAACCTGAATATATTTGTTTTATGACGTCAAATTTGTCTGGGAAAATGCATTACTTGGACGATTGTGTTTAAGTTTAGGACTAAGATAAATAGATATATAAAATAAATACTTCCATTGATTTTATGGAAAAGAATTAAATATTATGCGGCTTGCTTGAATAATTCATACTGTTCATTCTGTTGTAAAATTATTTTAAAAAAAACATTGCTGCTTGCTAGAAGAAAATTCTTTAGCCTCTGAAAAATCTTATTTTTAGAAAAAATTAAATGCTTACTCCTCTTTTTTGGCTCAAGAAGTGAGGAACCAGGAATTAATTTGGTTTGGCCTTACCATTCCTGATAGGTGCACACTTTATGTAAGGCAATATTTTACAGGAAGCCTGAAGTATACACAATATATTCAATTTGTATTTTGAGCATTTACATTTATGAAATTACTGTCAATGTACAATATGTTGTAAGTGTTAAAATATTGACAAGATAAGATCTAACAAAAAGGCTATATTATTATATTTGTTTTCTAGACATACAGTGATGAATCCTTCCAATTGTTTGAGAGAATTATTCGTGAGATAGAGCAACACGTACAACAGTTACAGATCATGTTCCCTGCCAGTAACCCACAGATCAATCAGCTCCACAGTCTTTTGGAAGCCTTGATCATGCTCAGAAATTCCAGAGAACAAGTTACAGTAGTCAATCTAATACAGAAAGTATGTAATCGGGTCAAATTATCTAGTTTATAACTCTTTTGTTAGAAAATCAAACTGGTCTCCCTAAAGAAACTGCTTATACACGAGAACCACTCTACCTGAGGATAGATATTTGAGTGATGCTCCTCATACAGCACAATCTGTTAAGCCCCAAGTAAAAATAGCTGATTTCAAGTTGGATCCATACCATCTTGCATTGTTCTCTGGTTAATTTCTTTCAGCTTCTGTTCATTATCAAATATAATTGTACCTATAGATGATTGTCTATATTCTCAATAAGTCAAATCTGTTACTTTTCAAACCTCTTAAGTTTGATGTCTCTATAAAGAAAATTGTGAGACTCCCATACTGGTTAAGTTTTGAGGTTTTCTACAGACAGTTTGAGATTTTCATAATTTTGATATTTAGCTTTTGAACAGTCATAACTTATAAAATTTTGTAAGGTGTAAACAAACTAACAAACTATAAAATCATAAATAGAACTTGAAAAATTGGTAAATGCTTGTGGCAAAATCACACAAAAACAATAGATTAAAACACAAATGATATGTTTTGTAAGTCAGTGGTTAGTTTTCTCTCAAACAGAGACTAACAGTGATTTATAAATACAATAATTGAGGATGATCTATTTTTGGAAATGTATTTTATTTACATTTGTAGGCTGTTGAGGGTTTATTAGAACATCTGCAAGGATTATCAGCAGATCAGGAACTCACGTTGAGGTTCAAGGAATGTAACTTGACAGTTCTGAGAGCGCTACAGGAAATGAGAGCATTTGGATTTGGCGGATCTTGGACAAATAAACAAGTAACTAGGTCAGTGGCATATTAAACTTGTTTGTCCTGTTAATTTAGATTAAACAAGGTTTTATAGACCTACCAAAATAAAGGTGTTCCCCTAATCCAGGATGCAAAGATCTTAATCAGTCTCAGTTCATCAGAAACAAACATTACTTTTATTTTGTCATTCTATGTAAATACAGCATGTCTGAAACTCCTCGGGTGTAATACAAAGCTACTGCCTTTGTCTTCAAAATACAGCAAAAGTATGAATTAAGTGATGTTCTAATTTTTGCTAATTTTGTGGTTCCCGAAAAGAACTAAAAACGAGATACTTTTGAAATAAATTTGTCATAATTAAAATGCATAATATATAGTGTAAATATGTGAAAAATAAATATCCATAAAAATGATAAGACAAACAAACAATGGTAGAAGATTTAAACCTGTGAAAATTTATTGTGGACACCACTGCATTCAAATTTTCTTATCAAAATTTTTGAAATAAATTGTGCAAAAGCATTATAAAAAATTAATAGTACACCTTTTTAAGAAGTATTTTGTTTAAACTGTAGATTATATTTGAATATATTATAGGTGTATGATAGAAGCTAATGAACAACACAAATATACAATAGAAGCTGTAGATTGTTTGATACGAAGTCAGCTAGTTAACATGCCCCAGTACGACATGTATCTAGCCCAGCTGATGGAGAATGGTATGAATTATATGGCTGTAAGTCTGGCCATGCAGGTAGTCCAAAGATTCTGTGTTGATGATAAGGCTTCAGCTACTGAGGTAAACATTTATTTCATACATAAAAGAAACAATATATAATGTAAAAAATGTTGGAAATCTGTCTTTTAAATGGCTTTAAAGCTTGAATTTTTTTTAAGTAATATTTGTAAAGGGAAATGTGCTGTTCATTGAGAATATAAATCTAAATGGAATTAAGAATGTTTTCAAATGAACAAATATATTTTAAAACTTTAAATGGGTATATACTTGTAAGCATATGTTTTGGTTATTGTATTGATAAATAGATTTTAATGAAAATAAGAAAATAAAAAGTGGTGTGCAAATTTGGTATATATTTTTTTTTGCAGAGTGACTTTACAAACACCATTGAAGCATTGACAACAATATCTACTCGAACTAGACAATCCCCAGAAGGGTGAGTACTTTTTTACCTTCACATTTTATATGCATTGTCAAACATGCTAAGTGTGAAAAGGAAACAAAATTGTAATAAGATTTTCCTGGCAAATGATTAACTCTTTATCTACCACTGACTGATACATTCACGGTTTTTATCATCGTTCTATTCGCAGTAACTGATAAATCTGCTTGCATAAGTATGTCTTGGGATAAACTGATGTATCCGCTGTTAACAAACTTGCATGTAGTCACAGTGACGGATATTTTCCTAAAATATACCACTGTTAAAACCTTTTTGATTGGACACAACTGTTGGGGAATCCCAAAAGAACCAATGAAATTCTGTTTTACAAATGTATAATCTGTCAACTCGTACATTCCTTTTCTTTAGAAGGTACTTGTTTACACTAAATTATGTTCAGAATGCCTTTTGACACATATACATTTTTGATATGGAATACCAAGGGAAATTTTTCTAAACTTAATATTCATCTTGTGGTTGAATACAAAGGTATTTTGAAGGAGGGAAAAAGACATATTATACATGCAGCACATCATACTTTTACAGTACAGCTAAAAAAACTGGGATACCAGATTTTGTGTTGACATAATTGATTATTTTTAAAGTGATATGGTCTATCATAATGTCAAGATATATAACATTGTATCAGATGATCATGATATCATTCTTTTATTTGGAAACTACATCGTATGATCAAATATGTTCATAGTCAGCAATACTGTTGTTTATACCTGTCTCAAATTGGTACTATTCCATTACACTCTACAGTTTCTTGAGTCATCCTCAAGATGTATATATGGATAACATAATTTTGCCTATAGCTTCTCATGTATATAGATAACATAATTTTGTCTATAGCTTCTCGTGTATATAGATAACATGATTTTGTCTATATCTTCTCATTTATATAGATAACATAATTATTATACCCCCGCTTTAAAAAGTGGGGGTATACTGTTTTACCTCTGTCTGTCCGTCTGTCCGTCCATCCATCAGTCCTTCAGTCCGTCCTTACGTCCTATGAATATTTTTTCCTCGCATCTTTCTCAAGAACTACATTACAAGGATTTCAGGAATTTGATTTCAGGGTTTGTATAAGTCAGCTAGACCGTGTGATGCGTTTTCAGATTCATCACTCGACAACTTCCTGTTTACCGAACACTTGTATCATTTTACACATGATAGCCAAGTTGAAAATTTTCATCACATTTTTCTCAGGAACTACAATACAAGGATTTTTAAAATTTGGTTCCAGGGTTTATATAAGTCAGCTATATTGTTTTCAGATTCATCACTCAACAACTTAATGAACACTTACATATTTTTACACTATTAAAATTATCCACTTGCGGCAGGGGTATCATCAGTGAGCAGTAGCTCACAGTTTCACTTGTTTTGTCTATAGCTTCTCATTTATATAGATAACATAATTTTGTCTATATCTTCTCATAAATGAAAGTTTTCTTTGTATGTATAATATAGCTTGAGTAACTTACTGGAGAATTTGAGACCAAACACTGACTTTGGCTTAGAGAGAGCTTTGGGAGGTCCCACAACTATGATGCAGACTGGTATATTACAAGCCAGAGAGATAGATGATCCTCCTGGACTTCATGATAAAGCAGAACTGTTATTGAGAGATTGGGTGAACATGTACCACTCACCCCAGGCAGGACGTGACAGCACAAAAGCATTTACAGCATTTGTTCAATCGGTCAGTGTTAAAAATAGTTCTTTGAAATGTTGCTACAGATTGAAAAGATAAATAGTTTATCATGATTTCATTGTAGATTATGTGTCTTTTAGTTGAAGATTCAGCAAAGATGGAAAAGTAAAAAGAGTTGAACAAAGAAAATATTTTTGAAAAAGTTACATACTAAGTATAATGATAGTAATCTTTGCTGAAATTCACTTCAATTTGTGCATTTGTGTTTATTTAGCAGGCATCAGAAAAAAATCATATTTCTGCTTCAACTTCTCATTGGAGGATTTAGTGATCAATTAGATAAAACATTTCAGTTTTAGTAACTATGAGATTATTGCATTTGTAAGTGGAAGTCACACTCTTTGTATGCACACTTTAATTCATTTTCTTTTTTATGCCCCACCTAGGGGCATTATGTTTTTCAGTCTGTGTGTCTGTTCGTTCGTCCGTCCAGCTTCAGGTTAAAGTTTTTGGTCAAGGTAGTTTTTGATGAAGTTTGAAGTCCAATCAACTTGAAACTTAGTACACATATTCCCTATGATATGATCTTTCTAATTTTAATGCCAAATTAGAGTTTTTACCCCAATTTCACGGTCCACTGAACATAGAAAATGATAGTGCGAGTGGGGCACCCGTGTACTATGGACACATTCTTGTTTTACGTTATGTTATAACCTATTCATATTTTTTATGTTTTCAGCAGTAATGCAGGTACATCCATACTGTTAAATTATCTTATATGAAGATATATTATATGTGAAATTCAGAAATATGTTTTTCTAATTTTAGATGCACCAACAAGGGATTCTAAAAACAGATGATCTCATTACACGTTTCTTTCGTCTTTGTACTGAGATGTGTGTAGATTTGTGTTACAGGGCTTTAATAGATCAGACCCAGAACCCTGCTATTGTCAGGACCAAATGTTTCTATACACTTGATGCCTTCGTAAGGCTGATTGCACTGCTGATAAAACATTCTGGTGACACTACAAACACAATCACAAAGATCAATTTATTAAATAAGGTAATTATATTGCAATATTATAGGTTCTGGTTTATTATATTATGAGAGAAGAAAATTTTGTTTTAAATGTACACGATGAGTAATTCTTATGTTCTGGTGATTGGCTACATGATGTAAGACAAATTAAAAACATTATTGATTAGTATATACTCACAGAGAAAATCTTATTATTTTTGAATTGTATATAGCATTGTATAGAAATCTTAAGATCAAATCTCATTGATGTCTTGGAAAACATGGATTAGAATTTAAGAGCATTTACAGAAATACTTGATTGTACCTCTTGGAAAGTAAAGACAAACTTATACATATAAAATTATGCATAAACATATTTATGGATTACAGATTACTAGTGAAAAAAAGATTTCCCTTCACAGTGTTCTACTCAGAAATTTCTTATATCATCCTGGTAAACAGGAAATTATGAAATACCTTCTTGTTTCTGGTAAATTATAAGTCAAGCCTATATATTTTAGAATTTTTTATTGGAAATTCATAATATGGAACAGAAATAACCAGATTTAATTCCTATATGACTTTTACATGACGTAGCCTCCATACATGTAGATAAATCTTGACATGACAACCAACAATCAATCTGTCCTATATTCCATGGTTGAATGCTTTTGTTCTATGTGATAGGTACTTGGTATAGTAGCAGGTGTATTACTACAAGATCATGCAGTAAGAAACACAGAATTCCAACAACTGCCATATCATCGTATATTTATCATGCTATTTATAGAACTCAATGCACCAGATCATGTACTGGAAAATATCAACTATCAAGTCCTAACAGCTTTCTGGTAAGAATTTCTTAGTATACTGTAGACTCATTATTATTCGTGGTATACCAATTTCTGTGGATTTAATGAGTACAGGTGAATAAATTTAAATGTTCAACAAAGTACAACTTTTCAATGCAGACTTGTAAAGCCACAAAAACGCATTTTTTCCTTAATCCACAAAAAATGGTATCCGAGAAAATAAATGAATCCACAGTAGTTGCATCCAGCATAGTTTCATTTCTGTCACATAAATAGTTTCAACTGCATCTTAGTTGCCTTTACAAAATAAGATTTCATAAAAATGTATGTTTAGTTGCACGTGTTATAAACCCAGAGAGCTATGTTTAAAGTATATTATTGATTTATTAAATTTCAGCAATACCTTCCATGTGTTGAGGCCTGCCAAAGCTCCAGGGTTTGCCTATGCTTGGTTAGAGTTGATATCACACAGGGTATTTATAGGAAGGATGTTAGCGCTGACCCCACAACAGAAGGTATGTTATATTAAATTTTTCTTGATATATATATATATTCTAATATTTTGACAATGTATATAATAGATTTTGGTCAAAGTCATGATAAATAGTATGAAAATAGAAAAATAAACAACTTGAAATCATAAATGTATTATTATTTAGTAAGAACTAAGTAAGGACTGTTCCATACAAGCATACATGGGACTCCGGGGAGGTCCAGGCAAATTTCATCTATGGGTGGTAGTTAAATACAGTGAATGTAAGAGAAATTCTTAAGTGCCTCTATGGAGTGATTGATGGTCACACCATTTTCAGAGTGGCCTCCCTGAGTTTAATGTATGTTTTAAAGGAATAGTCTTAATACTATATCTTTGTTCTGTCTTTAGGAACAAAACTATTTCAGGAATGTAAATTATATATTCATTGTCTTCTGGATTATTGAATCAAATCAATAGATTTAATGAACTGCATCAGTGTTCTCCCCAGGATTTTTTTAAGGCGCAAAATTCAAGGGCGCGTAACTCTTTTTTTAGAGTGAACGTTTGTGATCTGAAGCAATAAGTCATAAATCATGACATGCAATATGAATTATAATGCTTTGTGTTATGTGTTTAATAATGCAGAGTATTAATGAATTACAAGAATATATATATGAAATAAATTGATTTTAAACACAAAAGTTATTTATATTCAGTCAATTAAAGAAGTCAAAATATAAATATTCATCTCTACTCTCTGCTCCTTCAAGGGATATTGTTTCAAGATAGTGTTATTTTTTTGGACAGTCTGTTCCTCAACTTTGTCTTTATCCTCTTCAGGGTTAAAAATTAAACCCCCACTCACAATAACTTTTGATTATACCCCCTTTAACATTTCTAAGCCATGAAAACTCAGTCAGCCACTTGTCATTGAAACCAGAAACATGGTGCTTGCTTTTATCAATTGCTAAAACTTGAGCTTGGTTGGGATTAGGAAAAGCAATGAAATCTGCTTATACTGACAGTGTAGACGGAGGTGTATTCCCCTTTTCATTAGAAGTCATTGGTGTGAAAAAAACTTCTACTTCCATCATCTACCTTTTGCTTATAATTCACCCCTTTGTTATTTGCAGAGAACATGTTCATTCAGAATTAATAAAATCGAATATGGTTAATATATTTGGTATACAACTTTTTAAAACAATTTTTTTTTATAAATGAACAGCTGACCAGTTTCCGTAGTTTCACATTACGCTTCCGTGCGTATTATTGTTTAATCCTATCTTTGGCGGATAGATATAAACGAAACTTTACAAATTCGTTAAAGTTAAAACCATTGAAATTATTTAGCCAGTGACATTATACAGAAGCTGCGGCGATTCTGTACCCGTGTTGATTGTCACATATTTCCTGACGCACGGATTCACGATCGATGTTCAATGATCATTTTATTTCTAAAAATATGACAGTTTCAGACGAATTTACCTTGCAAGCAACATTTTTTCACTTTCTATTAAAGTAAATCACTCCTCGTTATCTTTAATCAAACTTTATTTTAATTTTTTCAACTACTAATACTTTCATTCATAGTTTTCATAGTAAATATCTTTAGCAATGTGTATTCAAATTTATCATGTGTATTCAACACGTTCATTGGTCGTGTTTAAATAGATTCTTCTTCTCGACCAATGAAAAAAATCGTTATATAAATGGTCAAGTGATCACACACACGATGGGTAAATACAATGTATTTGCGATCTATTTCTTCAATTTCTGCACTAAAGTTTTAAAATTTTTTAATTTTCTTCAAAAAATATCTATCTTCTTGATGATCATTTACGCTATTACCTGATAACATAGTACGATAAGGCTGAGATTAGCGTGGCTCAGGTAAAACTAATTGTCAGTTAAATATTGCGTAACACTGACCGACCCATCAGCGGTGATCAGTAACTTGACAATTTTAACCAACATTTATAATGAAAATGTGAAAATTAACACGCTGCGGGATCAAGTATTAAGGGACAGCGGCCAATTAAGACGCTGCGGGATCTACAAAAATATTATGTAGGTGCTGCGGCACCGCAGCGTCATATCGGCCTGGGGAGAACACTGTGCATGCTGTAAAAAAAAATCTCATCATGTAGTGTCACATACTTCATTCTTATTTTGTTGTACTTCTTGTTATTTTGATTTATTAGAATATAATGATCTATCTTTTCAGGGTTGGGGAATGTATGCTCAGCTTCTAATAGATTTATTTAAATTTCTGTCTCCATTCTTGAGGAATGCTGAACTTACCAAACCTACACAAATGTTGTATAAAGTAAGTTTTTTATATGATTCATATGGAATGTTACGTGGAGGAGTTGTTTTTCCTACATACACAAGTAATATAACTCCGACAATAAAAGTGAATCGTGAAGTCAAGACATGTTGATTTGATCTAATGTTAGGCATTATTTATATTAATTTTTTCCTACTGTAAATTCAGAAATTTTTTAGGACGTTTTTACTATTGCGAAACTGCAACGGGATTGTTAGTCCTCTCAAAACTGAAAAGTCCCATTTTAAATATTGATAGCATTATTTGCATTCAGCATTTCCTGAAATCGCATATTTGTCCATTGTTCAACAATGGCAATAATTTATCTCTCATATTTGTCCATTGTTCAACAATGGCAATAATTTATCTCTCATATTTGTCTATTGTTCAACAATGGCAATAATTTATCTCTCATATTTGTCAATTGTTTAACAATCACAATAATTTATCTCTCATATTTGTCCATTGTTCAACAATCACAATAATTTATCTCTCATATTTGTCCATTGTTTATTGTTTAACAATCGCAATAATTTATCTCTCATATTTGTCCATTGTTCAACAATGGCAATAATTTATCTCTCATATTTTTCCATTGTTTAACAATCGCAATAATTTATCTCTCATATTTGTCCATTGTTCAACAATGGCAATAATTTATCTCTCATATTTGTCCATTGTTCAACAATCACAATAATTTATCTCTCATATTTGTCCATTGTTTAACAATCGCAATAATTTATCTCTCATATTTGTCCATTGTTTAACAATCGCAATAATTTATCTCTCATATTTGTCCATTGTTTAACAATCGCAATAATTTATCTCTCATATTTGTCCATTGTTCAACAATGGCAATAATTTATCTCTCGTATTTGTCCATTGTTTAACAATCACAATAATTTATCTCTCATATTTGTCCATTGATCAACAATCACAATAATTTATCTCTCATATTTGTCCATTGTTCAACAATCACAATAATTAGTGCAAGCAAAATTTCTGAATTTACAGTCTATATAAAATGCTATGTTTGAAAACAAAATTGCTAAGTGATTTATCTCAAATTGAATTTAGGTTTTAGATGACACGCTTGTAAATTTTTCATGCATGTATTATATCTTGGGGCAAATTTTCACTGTTGATCAACATATAATGGAAATCCCTTTAATACTCAGAACATTTTTTACAACTAGTCATAGAATTCTAACTAAATTTGGTATCTGTTTGTAATTATCACAAAATTATGTGATTTTGTGAAATGTAAATTCTATATGGGTAAAAACAAACAAAACAGAATAATCTTTGTTGTTAGATAATTTTCAATTTGTAATGTACCATTTTGTATTGAATACATCTGTAAGATAGGTACCTTTTCACATTCGTTGATATTTTTCAGGGAACTTTACGTGTATTATTGGTGCTACTTCATGATTTCCCAGAATTCCTCTGTGATTACCATTATGCTTTCTGTGATGTGATACCACCAAACTGTATTCAGATGAGAAATCTAATCTTAAGTGCTTTCCCTCGTAATATGAGGTTACCAGATCCATTTACACCTAATCTCAAGGTGGATATGTTGGCTGACATTGCTCATGCCCCAAGGATACTTACAAACTTTGCAAATATGATTCAGCCAGCACAGTTTAAAAAGGTAAAAAACTAATCTGAATAGCTTTGATGGTCTTGTGGTAATGTGTTCACCTCCAATTTGAGAGGTTGTGGGTTGATCTACTGCCAGGTCAATCCAAATATTGTATTGTTATTTGCTGCTTCACTACTAAGCAGGCAGTATAAAGAAATAACTAAAGCAAAGATTGATTGACTCAGAGTCAGAATAATGTGTCTGTGTAGGGTAACTGTAAAAATCTGGCTCAAAGTGTGGGTCTAGTACAAAGCAGGATTCATATTCATATCGCAGCAACATGTTCTTGTCCTGAATATGTATTTGAATAATCACTGAAAGTTAAACAGCCACCCGTCATCATCTTCATCAATTACTTTTTAAAATGCAAATTGACTTGTTGTTTGCTTGCACCTGTAAAGTTATACTGATATCGGATTGGAGATAGTAATAAATAAAACGGTGAGATGTCAATAGAAAGTTATTAAATGAGAGAAGAAGGAAACCTGTGGAATTCACTGATGATCAATTAATGGATGATACCATGTAATAAACTGTATATATCATGGGGCAATGGTAATAAATGACCAAGGGTCGGTGTATGAGTACATCAATACTCAATTCTACATATGGATAAACATCAGTCAACTCAATAACAGACTTGGAAAAAACATTTTACAACACAACATGTTGTGTGTTGAGACTAGAATGAGTACAGAACATTCCCATTATTACATTGGACAATATTTGAAAATGATAAAATCTGAACAGACAAAAAATGTATTTTGATAAGTTTGACACTATTGATGGCAGCACAACATAAGTAAGAAGTACACATTAATGACTGTATAAATCAGCAATAGTATCAAATTATATTATACTTTTTATCTATAGAAATGGTAAAAAAAAAAGCTGCAGTGTTTTCACATCTTTGGATTAAAAACATTAAACATTTAAAAGTTCTAATTGTTAGTTTGTACATGTTTTTAACTTTCTTGTTTATTTGTAGGATTTGGATTCATATTTAAAGACGAGATCACCAGTCACTTTCTTGTCAGATTTACGTTCATATCTACAGGTAAAAAATGTAAGAGCAATCGGGAGGACATTATTCAATATGTACAACACACTTCAAAACACTAGAAGAGTTCTGTAGCAATTATAGTCAAAGTTATATTTCTGTAAATAGAAAATCTTGTGGACTGTAAATGGCCAAAACAATTGAACAAAAAAACTGCTCAAAACATTTTACTACTTGGTTAAAAAAATTAAAAGTATAAACATTTCATTCAACAGTAATTGTTAAGATTGAAGTTATTCCTGATAAATAAAATCTGTCTTTTAAGTAGAAAGAACATTATAATTGTTTGTACTTTCGTATATTTAAACATGTTAAAGTAAATTAAAAGCTTTACTCGTGAATCATCTTTATTTAAGAATAAAAAATGGATTAAAAAGCCTGTTTCAATGTTTGGTCATTTTCAGTTAATCAACTATTTTTTCTGAGAATAAAGTTTGCCTCCCTGCTTTATGAAAAATTCTGTAAATTTGCTTAAAAGGATTAAACAGTACACTTTAAGATTGTTAAATTGAAAAGAATTTGGTCCTGATATAAGGCACTTTAAAAAATTACAATGAATAGACCTTAATGATAACTTTTTAGATTGGAAATGTGCAGGAAGAGGAAACAATAATTGTTGATTGGTTTATTTATTTCTTTTACTATACAACAGCTTTAAAGATATATTTATGTAGTTGATCATTAATTTTCAAATGTTATCTTTACTAAATGAAATATCCTTAAATTTCATTCTTTTGACTATTATTGAATTTTATTTTTCAGTCGAATGAACCAGGAATGAGATATAACATTCCTCTGATGAATGCCTTAGTATTATATGTAGGGACACAGGCAATAGCTTTCATCAATAGTAAAGGACAAACTCCTAGTATGAGTACTATAGCTCACTCAGCTCATATGGACATTTTCCAAAATCTTGGAGTTGATCTGGATACTGAGGGTAATTGTTTATATAGAAAATTAATGTATTTACTATGACACTTTAACCATGTACAAAACTTTGTAAACCTACAATGTACCTTATAGCAATGTTATTTCTTTTGACAACTTTTAAAATATAGCTTACCTTTTCTATTATGTTTGGTATAGATATGTTGTTACTGACAATTGCAACAAATAACTGTTTTCTGTTGTAACACTGCAATTTTTTAACCTCGACAAATTGTATGTTTGGATTTCTGCATCAGTTTTAAAGAATAGATATTGGGTGTGTGAACATGTCTTAACCACAGAATACTAAGAAATTTCAAGTACTGGCATATCACTTTTATTGCTATGGTTCCATCTGTACAGTTACTGGGACAGTGAAGTTAAAATCTCTCTTAATGCAGTAAGAACAAAATGGCCCCTAGCATCAGATTAATTATTGCTTTTTGTCTCACCTTGACGTAGTCAAAAAGCGAGACATAGGCGGCGGGGGCGCCGCCGTCAACAATGTATTAGTTTGTGATTAGGTCTAGTTAATGGTGAACCACTAGTGGTAGGTCAATGATATTTGGTATGCAGTTGTATTAGCTTTGGCACATCTCATTTCCATGGAGATGATTTGGCCCTACCCCCTCAGTCATTGTCTATTGACTTTGAAAATTTTGCTTAGTTTATATGTATTAGTTTGTGATTAGGTCACTTTATGGGGAACCACTAGTGGTAGGGCAATGATATTTGGTATGCAGTTGTATAAGCATTTGCAAGTCTCATTTCCATGGAGATTATTTGGCTCCGCCCCCTCAGTCATGGTCTATTGACCTCAAAACTTTTGCTTAGTTTGCATGTGTAGTAGCACTTTCTAGGGCTAATAAACACAATACTTTCTTCTGAGGTGGATTCGTTTTATTTCTTGACAAAATCAGGATAATAACAATAACTAAATAAATACCCTACAAAATGAATACAATAGTAAGATTCTGACCGTTTATCGAATAAATAATCTAGTACATAGGTTTCTATTCATGTAATGTGATAAACAAATGTTTTACTAATAGAAATAGAAATAAATCTGTTCTGCATGTATTTACAACAATATTCTTATATTGTTGAGCGTATCTGACAAAGTTTAGTCCATATGCACCTAACGACTCATATTAATAATATAAACAAGTCTAATATACGAAAAATGACAAAAACGGTTAACGCAAACTTTAACATAAGCAAATTAACAAAACTAAAAGCAAAAGCTGCATGCTGTATAAATGCCGTAAGCATAAAGTAGCAACAAATAAAAATACGAACATTACAAAAATAACACTTAGCTTATAACAAATAAACAAATTGTAATCCATGTTTTACTGTAATAATCCACCTGTTTAGGATATGTACATTTAGTTAAGATAATCAATCAATACCACATAACTTTTATTACGTTTATATCTGTACCTTTAAAATTATTTAAAGCATTCGTACCGGAACACTCGAATTCTCATACAGTGTATTAAATTAATTCTTTACCAAATTAGTTAAAGTACTTTATTTATGAAAATATGAAAATAACGTCTCTTAAATCATTTAATCAAACAGATAATACTTTACTGTACTTTATCTATTTTTTATCATTTTAAAGCATTCATCTCCATTCAACATTTACGCATCAGCCTTTCATTCTAAGTAAAATAATAAATATCTGGACTATTAACATATAATTAGTAATAGAGAAAGATAACTGACCTGTATATAGAATATAGAACACTAAGAAAGAATATTACTCAAACTTAGAAAAATATCAAACACATATGTCTATGTCCACCATTATATCAAAAGTGATAACCAGTATGAAGAACAAAAGAAATATAGCACCAAAACATAATGACCAATAGAAATAATGAAAGTGTGCGGTCCAATGAACCATGAAAAGAAAGCCTTTGAAGTAAAATACAGAGAAACAAAAGTTACCCAAACCAGTAGAAAACTTGTCTGTCAATAAGTCCAAATGTCAAATAAGCAAATAAAATGAACTATGAAAATAAAAATACTGATCAATTAATTACAATCTGTAATTAATATACTCATACCTTTAATTAATCAATATAAATCATATAATATACAAATTGGAATAATAGAATACCATAAACTTAATATAAAAATATACACAATTACTGTAAAACCTACAGTCTACCACACATGTATTAGTTTATGATTAGGTCAGTTCAAGGGGAACCATTAGTCGTAGGCCAATGTTAATGGGTATGTAGTTGTATAAGCATTAGCACATCTCATTTCCATGGAGAATATTTGGCCCCGCCCCCTCAGTCATGGTTTATCGACTTTGAAACTTTTGCTTAGTTTACATGTATTAGTTTGTGATTAGATCAGTTTAAGATGAACCACTAATGTTAATTAAGTCGATGATATTTGGAATGCAAATTTATTGGCACTTGCAAGTCTCGTTTCCTTGGAGATTATGTAGTCCCACCTTCTCATCATGGTTCATTAACTTTAAAAACTTTTACAGAGTTTATAGTTAATGTTTGTGTTTAGGTTTGTTTAAAGGGAACGTCTTATGATAAGTCAATGGTATTTGGTATGCAGTTGTATTAGCATTGGCACATCTTATTTCCATGTAGATTGTTTAGCCATGTACCTTCAGTCATGGTTCATTGACTTTGAATATTTGCATAGCTTACATGTTAAAGTATTGCTATTTTAATTTCAACATTTGCATTATCAAAATTACAAAAAGGCGAGACATATCTCTGTGATAACAGTTTATTGTTATATAGCAATACATGTTATGCAAGACCTGCAAACAATCTGTCAGACTGATTCCTGCAGGGTATTTACTAATTAACACATCATTGAGACATTTATAGGAAAACATGACATAGAAAGGCACGGTACAGCTATGTTGAAAGGGCAGTGGAAAATATATAAATGTGTTTTTTAACCACAGTATTTCATAACTTTAAAAATATGAGAGTAATGAATTAGTACATTATCAACCCTTATTTACTAATATTTTGATTGATCATACATTCTGAAATCTTTGAATATTATTGTTTATATTTCAGGTCGATATTTATTCCTGACAGCAATAGCTAACCAGCTGAGGTACCCCAATAGTCACACTCACTATTTCAGTTGTACGCTCCTTTACCTGTTTGTAGAGGCTAATATTGAGGCTATTCAGGAACAAATTACAAGAGTTCTATTGGAGAGACTGATTGTTAACAGGCCACATCCATGGGGCTTGTTGATCACATTTATTGAACTTATTAAGAATCCTCAGTTTAAATTCTGGAACCATGAGTTTGTCCATTGTGCTCCAGAAATTGAGAAGTAAGTGTTTAAAAAATCAGATAACTCTTCCCAGATCATGATGCTTAAAGAGATGGTGAACTACTGTTCATTCATTTATTGTTTGGGGATTGAGGGAAAAATTGTATTTTCAATGATGCTTGATTTCTTTGTTTTGACAAATTTGGCACACAAGCCAATTAGAAATTTTTATTTTGTTGAATACAAAGTTTCATAGTCCACCTTTACTCAGGAAATCTGTGAAAATATTACTCTTAAGAATAATAATGAATCCATGGTATTTTAGTGTGAACAAAAAGGCAATAAAATTTAGGTTTGCTTGTTTTTGGAAGGTTGACCATTATATCAGTATTACCACTGTTCACTATCTATTTTAGGAGTACAATCATTGGTCCGTCAATCAAATCATTAAAACATTTATTATTTCTGTATTTACCATAGCCAGTAAAAAAATCAATGTTCACCTAGCACATAATCAAACTTTAATTTTGTTTACTAACTAAATACTCAAATAATTTCTACTGTAAAAAAAAGTTTACTTTCAAGGAATCTGTTTTTTCATTAGACCTTTTTAGTAAGGACCTTGTAAGCATTTTTGCAAACAATCTATACTAATACAACAAATTTCCAGGGCTAATTTGAATAAAAGAGCTATACTGGTATATTCTGATGACCTCAGGCAGTTTTATGGTAATTTAAAGAAATTATGTCATTCTCCAATACCACTCATGGATTGAGGAACAGGAATATCTTGAAATCTTGAAATCGATTTATATAATTTTCACACAAGATTTCCAAAATTCCAAAATGATATTTAAATCTTACACATTGTTTTGATAGACTTGAACTGAATTGCATTATGAAAATACCAGATATGAGACCAATATAAAAATAAGTAGATGTGGTATGATTGTCAATGAGAACTATCTACCAGACTTCAAATAATGTAGATTTAAGCAATAATAGGACACCTTACAGACTTCATAAATGAGCAAAACGCACACTGTATAGTCCGCTTCTAAAGGCCCTGATGTGACAAATGTGAAACAATGTCTGATATACATATATGATTGAAATGGGATATTGTCCAATCTATTTTCTTTTGTTTTGCAGATTATTTGAGTCTGTAGCCAGATCTTGTATGCAGCCAAAGTCTGGTGGATCAGGCAATACACAAAATCTGAGAGAAACTGACACCACAGAACTTCACTGATTTACAAATCATGGCGTCACACTAGACAATAAATCCGTCAAATTTTCATTGTTGTTAATTGTTGTGAACATTTTTAAGAACTTTTTGAAGGATTATGAAGACTTTTGTATTTATTTTTGTGAAATGACATCAAGAGAAGATATATTTTGTTGAGAGTACATCAAATTGGGCCACTAAGTAACTTGTTTCATTTGTAAATATGGTGTCAGATCATGACTCTGACTACAATGACTATTGTTGACAAAGATGTGTTGAGTGTCAATACTTCCCCAAATTTGTTTGAATAAATTATAACATATTTGAAATCTTTGTTTTTTTATGTGATTTATATTAGACTTGGGATGAAATAGTTATTTCTCACACATACAATTCATATCCAAACATTTTAAACCACTTCAGTAGTCTCATTGAATCAAGTTTGCCTCAAGCGTGGGAGGTCATGGGTTCGAACCCCAGCCAGATCAAACAGAAGACTTTAAAATTGGTATATGCCACTTCTTCGCTAAGCATGCATATTATGGAGTAAGAGCAAATACTGGTTGGCTTTGAGTCAGAATGATGTGTCCGGGTAGGGTGACATGTCTTACTGCGGATTGTTACCGTGTCAACCAGCAAGTTTAAAATCTGGCTTAGTCTGTCAGTCTACTACAAAGCAGGGTTCATATTCCTATCATATTAACATGTTCTCGTCCTGAATATGCATTTAATATGCCACTGGACTTTAAACAGCCATCCATCCAAACAATTAACAGAGCTAAGTTACTGTAAATTCAGAAATTATTGCAAGGTTTTTATATGACCGCAAACAAATTTTTGTGGTCGTATATTGGTATGACATTGGCGTCGGCGTCGTCGTCCAAAGATGCATTAGTTTTCGCACTCTAACTTTAGTTTAAGTGAATGGATCTCTATGAAATTTTACCATAAGGTTCAATACCACAAAAGGAAGGTGGGGATTGATTTTGGGGGTTATGGTACCAACAGTTAAGGAATTAGGGGCCAAAAAGGGGCCAAAAATAAGCATTTTCTAGTTTCCAGACAATAACTGTGGAACTGTGTATGGATCTCTCTGAAATTATACTACAAGTTTCCATACCACAAAGGGATGGTTAGGATTTGCTTTGGGGGGTTATTGCTCAAACCGTTAAAGAATTATGGGGCAAAAAAGGGGGAAAAACAAGGTTGTCCTCATTAATGGACAAATACTTTAGTACAAAACATAATTTAAAGCAGTGTAAGGGAGATAAATCAAATACATCATTGAAATTATCTCCCTTACACTGCTTTTAAATTATGTATAAAGTAATGGGTAATGAACAATTAAGATAATTTAAAACAGTGTAAGGGAGGTAATCCAAATACAACGTTTTGGTTACTTCCCTTACACTGCTTTTAAATAATGTTTAAAGAAATGCATATTTATAAAGGAAGACCAGTATGGCGCATTAGATTTGTAAAATCTTTGACCACATTTATTTATTTGTTATGCCGAATCTAACCATGTATTTAGATTTTTAATTTTGGGTCCAGTTTTCAAATTGGTCTACATTAAGGTCCAAAGGGTCCAAAATTAAACTATGTTTGATTTTAACAAAAATTGAATATATGGGGTTCTTTGATATGCTGAATCTAAACATGTATTTAGATTTTTGATTTTGGCCCAGTTTTCAAGTTGGTCCAAATTGGGGTCCAAAATTAAACTTTGTTTGATTTCAACAAAAATTGAATATATGGGGTTCTTTGATATGCTGAATCTAACCATGTATTTAGATTTTTTATTTGTGGAACCCAGCTATCAAATTGGTTCATATTGAGGTCAAAAGGTTCCAAAATTAAACTTTGTTTGATTTCATCAAAAATTTAATAATTTGGGTTCTTTGATATGCCAAATCTAACCGTGTATATAAATTTTTAATTTTGGGTTCCATTTTTTAAATTGGTCTACATTAGGGTCCAAAAGGTCCAAAATTAAACTTAGTTTGATTTTAACAAAAATTGAATTCTTGGGGTTCTTTGATATGCTGAATCTAAACATGTGTTTAGATTTTTGATTATGGGCCCAGTTTTCAAGTTGGTCAAAATTGAGGTGTTGTAATTTAAAAATACCCGTAGAAACCGGAAGGTGGACAAACATTACAAAAGAAGAAAGAATATGCCACTTATGTCATAAAGGAATTGGCACTAAATTTCATTACCTTTTTGAGTGTCAGTTTCCGACAGTCGTAATAATACGAAACAAACATATTCCTATTTACTTTACTAGATATCCATGTTATCAAAAAATGATAGGCTTATTGTCACTAAGTAATGTAAAAGTGTTAAAAAATCTAACACTTTTTATTAGTAAACTTAAGAACATTTTGTAAAATGATTGTTAAAAAATGTATTTTATATGTTTTTTCCTTTGTTATACCCACCATTTTTTTTTTTTTTTTTTGTATTGTTTGTATATATGTAAATATTGTATTCCTCTTGTTACACGTATGTATTGTGTCTGAGTGATCAAATAAAAGTTGAGAAAGTTGGTCCAAGTTGGAGTCCAAAATTGAACTTTGTTTGATTTCAACGGAAATTGAATATATGGGGTTCTTTGATATGCTGAATCTAAACATGTATTTAGATTTTAGATTTTTGGCCCAGTTTTCGAGTTGGTCCAAATTGGGGTCCAAAATTAAAGTTTGTTTGATTTCAACAAAAATTGAATATATGGGGTTCTTTGATATGCTGAATCTTACCATGTATTTAGATTTTTTATTTGTGGGCCTGCTATCAAATTGGTTCATATTGAGGTCAAAAGGGTCCAAAATTAAACTTTGTTTGATTTCATCAAAAATTGAATTATTGGGGTTCTTTGATATGCTGAATCTAACTGTGTATTTCAATTTTTAATTTTGGGTCCCGTTTTTATACAACCGCAAAAAAATTTTTGTGGTTGTATATTGGTATGACGTTGGCGTCGTCGTCGTCGTCCGAAGACACATTAGTTTACGCACTCAAACTTTAGTTTAAGTGAATGGATCTCTATGAAATTTTACCATAAGGTTCAATACCACAAAAGGAAGGTGGGGATTGATTTTGGGGGTTATGGTACCAACAGTTAAGGAATTAGGGGCCAAAAAGGGGCCAAAAATAAGCATTTTTGTAACTTCAAGACATAACTTGTGTGTAAGTGTATGGATCTCTCTGACATTGTACCACAAGGTTCCATATCCCAAAGGGAATGCTGGGATTGATTTTGGGGGTAATTGCCTTCAAATTTTAGGAACTAGGGGCCAAAAAGGGGCAAAAAACAAGCATTTTTCTAGTTTCATGACAATAACTTGTGTGTAAGTGTATGGATCTCTCTGACATAGTACCACAAGGTTCCATATCACAAAGGGAATACTGGGATTGATTTTGGGGGTAATTGCCTCCAAATTTTAGGAATTAGGGGCCAAAAAGGGGCAAAAAACAAGCATTTTTCTAGTTTCATGACAATAACTTGTGTGTAAGTGTATGGATCTCTCTGACATTGTATCACAAGGTTCCATATCACAAAGGGAATGCTGGGATTAATTTTGGGGGTAATTGCCTTCAAATTTTAGGAATTAGGGGCCAAAAAGGGGCAAAAAAACAAGCATTTTTCTAGTTTCATGACAATAACTTGTGTGTAAGTGTATGGATCTTTATGAAATTGTACTACAAGGTTCCATATCACAAAGGGAAAGCTGGGATTGATTTTGGGGGTAATTGCCCAAAATTTTAGGAATATGGGGCCAAAAAGGGGCCAAAAATAAGCATTTTTCTAGTTTCCAGACAATAACTTGTGTTCAGGTGTATGGATCTCTCTGAAATTGTACTGCAAGGTACCATACCACAAAGAAAAGGCTGGGATTGATTTTGGGGGTAATTCCCTCAAAATTTTAGGAATAAGGGGCCATAAAAGGGCCAAAAAAACAAGCATTTTTATAGTTTCAGGACAATAACTTGTGTGTAAGTGTATGGATCTTAATGAAATTATACTGCAAGGTTCCATATCACAAAGGGAAAGCTGGGTTTGAGTTTGGGGGTAATTGCCCTAAACGTTTAGGAATTTGGGGCCAAAAAGGGGACAAAAAAACAAGCATTTTTCTAGTTTCCAGACAATAACTTGTGTTCAAGTGTATGGATCGCTCTGAAATTGTACTGCAAGGTACCATACCATAAAGGGAAGGCTGGGATTGAGTTTGGGGGTGATGAATCATAAGGGGGTTCAAAAAATTTGGGGGGGATTTTTTTTTCCTTTTTTTTCTTTAAAATTTTCCATTTTAAATTGGTTATTTCTGATTTATATATAAAAGCAAATAATAATGATATGGTTTGAATAGGTAAATTAAAAAATTTTAAGTTCTTATACCACTTTCATTCTGTGTCAGAAACCTATGCTGTGTCAAATATTTAATTACAATCCAAATTCAGTGCTGTATCAAGCTTGAATGTTGTGTCCATACTTGCCCCAACTGTTCAGGGTTCGACCTCTGCGGTCGTATCAAGCTGCGCCCCAGCAGAGCATTTTATTTAAATTGGTCTACATTAAGGTCCAAAGGGTCCAAAATTAAACTTAGTTTGATTTTAACAAAAAATGAATTTTTTGGGGTTCTTTGATATGCTGAATCTAAACATGTGTTGAGATTTTTATACGGCCGCAAAAAATTTTTGTGGTCGTATATTGGTATGACGTTGGCGTCGTCGTCGTTGTCGTCGTCGTCTGGCGTCGTCGTCGTCGTCCGGCGTCGTCATCCGAATACATATTGGTTTTCGCACTCTAACTTTAGTTTAAGTGAATGGATCTTTTTGAAATTTGACCATAAGGTTAAATACCACAAAAGGAAGGTTGGGATTGATTTTGGGGGTTATGGTACCAACAGTTAAGGAATTAGGGGCCAAAAAGGGGCCAAAAATGAGCATTTTCTAGTTTCCAGACAATAACTGTGGAACGGTGTATGGATCTCTCTGAAATTATACTACAAGTTTCCATACCACAAAGGGATGGTTAGGATTTGCTTTGGGGGGTTATGGCTCAAACCGTTTAGGAATTAGGGGCAAAAAAGGGGGAAAAACAAGGTTGTCCTGGTTAATGGACAAATACTTTAGTACAAAACATAATTTAAAGCAGTGTAAGGGAGATAAATCAAATACATCATTGAAATTATCTCCCTTACACTGCTTTTAAATTATGTATAAAGTAATGGTTAATGAACAATAAAGATAATCTAAAACAGTGTAAGGGAGGTAATCCAAATACAACGTTTTGGTTACTTCCCTTACACTGCTTTTAAATTATGTT